TTTCTATTGTTGTAATCTACTAAATAGATCTTGTAGACTTTGTATCACTTTTTCAATACGCTCTATAAGTTTACTTTGAGTCTCTCAAATTTTTGATTTAATCGCACAATTTTTTTATTTACGTGCTCTATAACTAAATTAAGAATTGTTTAAATTAAATAAAAAAGGTTGAGAGAGTGTACTCTCTCGTGTATACAAGGGAGTTTTTGGGTCTACAAAGAAGTCCAATCAAACTTTTTTTTTATTATCCAATTAATCTGTTTTAGGTATCTTCTCTTTAAATACAAAAAAAAAGTCAATAAAAAAATAAATAAAAATAGTCCCTCCCATGTCTCTCTCTAACCCACCCATAAATCTCTCTACGTTCGTTCTCTCTTTAGATTCAGGAGACGCTTTCTAAAAGTGGCTTGGCTCCTCAACTATCTCTCCTGTGCATCCCACAAGCCATGGAATGAATCCCGTAACAATCTAACCATGTTAACCTCATGCTGAAACCAAATATATACTAACCATAACCAACCCAAGCACTAAATATATCCAAATCTTTTTAGAAAATAAATTTATCATTTTACCCTTTAAATCTCTACAACTAAAAAAACAAGGGTAACTCTAAATAAAACCGAAAGTCCAAAAAATAAAAATAATTTTTTTAAAAAAAAACCAATTTTTGTTTGCAAGTGAGAAAAGCACAACCACGAGCTTATATTCTTCAGAGGCCAATTAAATAATTGGTGATTTAGTCTCGCCATTTTTCTTGGTACTTGAACCAATTGATCCAACACAATTTGTAGTGGAACTCTAAGATATCGAACTCTGGAATACCAAATTGAACTCTAAGATACCGAACTCTGGAATACCAAATTGAATCTTGATTTCTCCTTCAGGCTCTTGATTTCTCCTCTCCTTCAGCTCACAGGGCAGTATTTCATAAGCTGCAAGACACATATTCATTTTCTTCATAATTGATTTTTTTAAGTTTTTTGTTGCACATTTGGGTTATCGACATCGTCTTTTCTATGGAGATCTACCTCTTCATATTCTTCTTATTCCTCTAGCTGCTATTTACTACATAGATTTTGTAGATTTTATTGTATTATTTTGCCAATACGTTCTATCAACTATTCTTTGAGTCTATCAAATTTTCGATCTAATCGCCCAAATATTTAATCTATGTGCTTCATAACTAGATCAATAATTGTTTATAATCAGTAGGGACATCAAGGCTCTGAAACCAATCAATGCATGGGAAAAAATAATAAACAAAAAAATAAAATAAAATAAAAATATTTATGATCAACAATTATTTATAATCAACAGGGATATCAAGGCTCTAAAACCAACTGATGCAGGGAGAAAAATAATAAACAGAAAAAAAAAATAAAGGCTCAAAAACCAATTGATGCATGGACAAAAATAATAAACAGAAAAATAAAAAGGTTTATGATCAGGAGCTACTCCAAGATCAAACTATTTCTTTATTCTCCAATTATTATTTTTTTTACAAAAAATGAACATCTTCCTTTTTAAATATAAACTAAAAATAATAATAAATAAAAATAAAAAACTTATCTCTAACCTTCCAACGTCTCTTTCTCACACACAATTCATTCTCCTTAGATTTAGGAAACACCATCTAAAAGCTACATGGCTCCTCTACATGTCTCTTTAGCACATCCCTTGAGCCTATGGAATTAATCACGTAACATACAATAACAATCTAACCATGCTAAAATCAATATATCGTGACCAACGCAATCACTAGTCATATCCAAATCCTTTTAGATCCTCTATAACAAAAAAACAGACAATAACCCGAAGTAAACTAAAAATCCAGATACGCTTTTTCTAAAATGCAAAAAATATAATTCTTTTTTTTTAAAAAAAAAACCCAAGATTTATTTGCATCATAAATTATTAGTTTTTTTTAGAGAGATAAATTTCCTCAAAATTTTAGAGAGGAAGACTATCTTGAATTTTTTAGATAGAGAAACTATCTCAAATTAGTTTTAGGGACAGACAATCTCAAAGTCTTTAGAAGAAGAAACTATATCAAATTTCAAGTTTTAGAGAGACAAACTATATCATTTTTTAAGAGAGAAAAACTATATCAAGTTTCAAGTTTTAGAGAGAAAACTATATCAAAGTTTTAGAGAGAAAACTATATCAAAGTTTTTAGAGAGAAGCTACTCAAATCTCAAAGTTTTAGAGAGAGAAATCATCAAAAAATTTGGATGGAGAAACTATCTCGAATTTGTTTTAGAGAGAGAAATTATCGTAAAATTTTTAGAGGAAGAAACTATATCGAATTTTAAGTTTTAGAGAGACAAATTCTCTCAAAATATTTAGAGAGAAACAACTATATGAAATTTCAAGTTTTAAATAGAGAAACTATCTCAAAAATTTTTTGGGAGAGAAACTATCTTGAAACAATTAAAGATAGAAACTTTTTCAAAAATTTTAGAGAGATATACCATCTCAAATTTTAAGTTTTAGAGAAAATTTTTTTAAACCTTTTTTACAAATATTTAAATCTATATCAAATTTTAAATTTAAGTAAGAGAAACTATCATGAAATTTTTAGACAGAGAAACTAACTCAAATTTTAGTTTACATAAGGGTAAAGTATAATCCTGGGGGTATTTACAATTTTCCTTTCTTTTTTTTCTTCTTACAAATTCTGTCAAATATTACCTATTGATTATATTCTGACGATTTTATAACTATCCCTGTAATCTTTTTATAGATGCTTTTTCTTGTTTTTCCCATGTTGTGTTTTCTCTCTAAATCTCTGCCGGTTTCTAATTGTGTTTCCCAAACATATGAAAGAGCAAGTTCGGGTAATTCTTTTACTGTAGATTGTTTGCATCAGTACGTATATGTTTTCATATCAAATTATTTCACGCAAACCAAACAACCCTTAAATGTCGCATTTTTCTACATCGTTCTGAAACATTAAATTGGCAAAGGATCTAGTCTAATGAAAGCCAATCCAACTGCCGGCTGAACTAATTGGATTGGATTTAAAAAATAAAAATAAAAATTAGGAACAATAATATTAAAATTGAATTATATTACCAAGAACAAATTCAACTTTAGTTTTCCTATATAACCTGTCAAAATCAATAGGTCCAACCAACCCAAACTACCCAGTAACCAAGCGTAGAATTTTACTTCTAATTCAGTAGGTCCAACCAGTCCAAACGAGCCAGCAGCCAAGCATAGAATTTGACTTCTTTGGAACAGATCAACCAAAGCACCAATCAAGATGTGATTAGTCTGATTAGCCCGGTCTTGATGAATACGGTGACCATACACATATCCACCTGATTTGTGACCGTTGTGCCGAAATAGAAAATTAATTTTGTGCATATTGTTGTGAGCAAAAGGAACATTTCTCACCATATCAAGAAGGAAAAAGTTTATATAGAGCCGAGGCTCTGAACAATCAAACTAAAGCTCACTTCAAAAATTTCACTAAAAGACGTTGTTTTGATATTCAAATATCCTCAAATTGACATGAGAAAAAAATGGATTTCAAGTTTTGGAAATAATGCATCTTGTAATGCATTTTTGGACGTCCATTTTCAAGATTTTCATGTTTCCTAGATTTACTCGATCTACATAATTTTTAACGTTTTAGATTTTATAATAAGAGATGAAAATTTATTTGTAGGCTATTGCAAACAATTCCAATATTGAAACTAGGTGCACTCTACTTTGATTGTTTGGAGCGTCGCTCTATGCAAACTGCACCCTAAAAACAATGACAAAGGGCAATATTGTATTTAGTTCACATTGTTGTACCCCAAGGTACTTGCACAATTGCACCAATGGGGAAATCTTGGTCAAGACATATTTTGCTCCAACTACTCAAGGCGACGACCCTTGGCCTCTTTTGGTAAAAACAAAAGGAAAATTGTTTATGAACTGCGTAACTACATATGCGGTCCAAAAAGCGTAAACATCATTTATCTTAAAGATGCATATAAATAGGCGTTCTATTTAAAAACAATAAAAATTAACGGTCCAAATGTTTTTTTACTAAAATTAGTATTTCTAATTTTTTAAATTTATTTATTTTTCAAATTCATGATCTCCATGTTAGAGATTAGATGCTTTAAAAAATTAAATAAAAAATCCATCTCAAAAATAGATTTATTAATAAGCCTTCATATCTACATATGTAGGCTTGGCCGTATAGAAACCGGGTCCAAAACAAAAATCCAGTTTAAGATCAAGTCAAAATTGATGTATGATCGGATTTAGCCTGTTAGATCAACCGATATTGATATGCTAAACTGGATAAACAAAGAGGAAAAAAATTTTGTCCTATATTTTGAAAAATATAAACTATAATTTTTATTTAATTTTTAACTCATTCAAATTAGAAATCAAAACCGTTTTAACTTGACCTAACCCTTCAATAACTAGTCTAATCTAGGGATGGAATTGGAATATTCGCCTCGACACAAAACACCCTTGAGGATCGAGCATGGTCAAAAATCTAGGTTGGTGTTTGGGCCAGGGGTATCAGTTTATATGAGTCCATGTAGAAATGACCCCTCTTATAAATTTATTTTTGAGATGGATTTTTTAGCTTAATTTTCAAAGACACGGAATCTCTAACATGGAAACTATGAATATGAATATATAAATAAAATTTTAAAATTAAAAATTATAATTCTACTAAAAAAATATTTGGATCATTAGTTTCAATTTTTAAGTTGGATCACCTATTTACATCCATCTTTATACCTTATAAAAATGCCGGTATATAAAATAATATTTATTTATTTTTATTATTTTTTAAGTATAGTTACTAGCTTAACCTGGCTCGACCCTCATAACGGGCCAAAGTCGGCCACCTAGCCTTTTGGGTTATGTGACCAAGTTATTTCAAGAAGCAATTATTGCAGTATTCTATACAGTGGAATGGTTTTGGCCTGTTTTTGAGGTGGGTTCTCTCTCTTTCCTCTCACTCGCTGCCTGATAAGGTAACAGTTGTCTTTTTCTTATGTGGGTTTCTTTCTCATGGTCTCTTTCGGCTGAATCTTTTGATAGCAGCTGTTATTTTGATGTGGATTTCTCTCTTATGGCCTAATTTAACATGATAAGTAACTGTTCTTTTCTGAACTGGGTATCTCTCTCATGGTCTCATATCGCTGGTGGCCATTGTTTTCGATTTGGGTTTCTCTCTCATGGCCTAACTTCACTGTCTGATATGATAACTTTTTTTAAAAATTTCGGTTTCTCTGTCATGGCCTAATTTTGCTGTTTTTTTTTTTCTTTTAATTTTGGGTTTCTCTCTCATGGCCTAATTTCGTGTCTGATATAATAACTTTTTTTTTTTAATTTGGTTTTCTCTCTAATGGTCTCATTTCGATGCCTGATAATGTAGCATTTGGGTTTTTGTTCATCCTGGTTCGAGTTCGATTAATTATGTCAAGTTTTTTGCTCATTTTATACTTAATTTCAGTGGGTTTCATGGAGTCTTAGTTCTGTATCTGTTGACCTTGAGTGTGCGAAGTGGCTTATACATGTGGTAGGGAGATAAGGGTGTTAAATGCATGTGGAAATGATGGCTGCTTGTGCGAGAGAGTTTTGGTAACATAGTTAGGTAGTAACGTAGTGTAGCTAGTGAGATTATTAGTCTACTTATACGTCTTCAATTTTGAGTGCAAAAAAGCACCGTTTTTCTTTGTAGGTGAATTTAGTGGCTCATGATGGGTTCTCTAGTATTGGCAATGGAAAACAACAATGCTCTTGTGATTTCACCAGGTTATCTCTCTCTCTACTTTTTCTGTTTTTTTTGCTTGCTTGCTTTTTTTTGTCATTTTGGTTGTTGAAGTCCTAAATTCTCAAACCCAACTTCCATTTTCAGGATATGGTGCCTACCATGTTCTTAACATGTAGAATTGTGTAATTCAGTTTTCATTTCAGCTGCCTTCTTTTTCTTATGATATTAACAGTGGCATTCATGAATTCTAGAATAGCTTTTGAGTCAAATCTTAAGCATTTAGTTTAGATATTTATTTAGAGATAACGAAATTGTAATGTCAACTAACTCTGACTCAAATTTAGCTTCGAAGTGTTCCGTTTTCACCATAACCTTGGAAGTTTCAACTGAAAAGCTAAAAAGACTCGCCTTCATTTTGACATTGGTGATGGGTTTAAAAGGGTAGTCTTTTCTGATTAAAATTTTATGGTTTTGATTAATTAAGGTAGTAAATGCACTAGCCAAAAATGGCAACCCGCAAGTCAGGCGCTCTGTACATCTTCAAAATGAGGTGGACTAATAGACTCCTTGTCCATCAAAAAATATGGGTATTAAACCCTGCAAAACACTCAGACTAAAACTAAGAATAGATATGCAACAGGGCTGAAAAAATTGCCAAAATGGTTCTATCACTTTGTCAGTTTGCATCTTCTTTAGTGAAAGAATCAGCTTGGAGTTGGCATCGTGCCACATATGCTGAAAGGAGGTGTGAAAATGTGTGCATAGATCAAAGAACTAGTCAAATATGTGCTCGAGTTGCCATGGGCAAGTTTGAATGGGCTACTCTCATGATGTATATTTTTGGCCTTATTCATGTTTTTACTGGTTATTTTACTGAGATGAACAATGGTATTTTATTAGTTAATCATTGTGGCGCTGTTTGTTTGTGAACATCATGGCATTACTGGAATCATTGTTTCTTTCTTGAAAAAGAGGACTAGCCTTCATTTACATATGGTGGTGCGTTCGAATTGGCAGTCTTCATAATGAATATTTGGAACTCAGTTTACATTTTTTGTAATGGTTATCTGTATTGAGAGGAAGCAATGTGCTCTTCTTTATCTTATTATTTGCGAATTTTTGTGGCACGACTTGTTCATGAATCTTTGTGGCATTGCCGGAATCTTTATTTGGCAGGAGCCTTTATTTCCTTTATGGACATCCCTCCTGAAATTATTTTTTCTCATATTTTCCGTTAATCTTGTTTTTATAGTTACTGATAATGAGCTATTTCTGCGGAGTTGAAAACAAGCTCTATAATTTGACAAATTCAATGAATAGTGCAATATCTCTAGGCAATGTGCTGGTAATGAATCATAATTTGCTTGCTTTTCCCTCAACACGATTTTGGATTTTGCAGATGCCATTCAGAAAAAACCACATGATTCTCTATTGGTTCCGAGGAAGTTCTTTGCATCAGTTACTTCAGAAAAGGAAAAGCCATTTGATTTCTTTCGTACTTTATTTGGTGGGTTGTAACAATTTCTAATGATTATTTTATTGGAAATTTGGCATTCACAGCTGATCCTCCGCTGCAGATCAATTGACTTTTCTTTGTTCATGTTATAAGTCTCTCACCATTTAACATATCCTTTGGAAAAGTATGCCATACTCCAGTGATGTATGTTATCAACTATGTGTTCCCTATGATGGACTGTGGAGATTAACTGCAGTCTAACTAGGACATTCACATAAGTACAGTTAATCTCCATCATACCCACTGAGAATGGATGAAAGGTATCCTTCATAGTACCATGTACAACACATTCATACACCATTGAAGTGTTATATACTCTCCTATATCTTTCTCTGTGGTCATAATGAAAGTGATTTCTATTTTGCAGAGGGTATGATAGCAGGCGGTACTGCTGGAGTAGTTGTTGAAACTGCTCTATATCCAATAGATACAATAAAGACTCGATTGCAGGTAGATCCACTCAATGGAAGAACCTCAAAATAATGTAACGTCATATAGGTTGCATTCTGTCATTAGTCCTTTTATTTTTCTTTTTGAAGGAAAGGGCACCTATTGTGTCATCCTTGTGGAATGACATGGGTATGTGAGAGAGTGGGAACCACCATTGGTGCTATGTTCTGTCATGCTGGGACCCGATATCTCTGAATCACTGTCCAATGAGTCCGTTAGAGATTATGGTATACATTCACTTATTTGATGAATTATTGATGCTGGTTTATATCTTGTTGGTATCACATACACTCAGTTGCAATCATGTTCACTGTAGAGGAGAAATTTCTAAAAGTTTCATATCAATTTGATAACATGCCTTCACTCTTTCCTGATTAATGTTAGTGGGGAGTGTGAATCGGAAATTGTTATTAGACATGGGATGTTTGTCTAGAGCCTCATTTTATTGCCTTCAGTTTAGGAAGCTGAGCGAAACTGTTTTAGCTCATACAGCAATTTGTTGGGGTTAATATCTACGACTTGAGAGTGCAATGAACATAAAAGGGCATAAGAATTTGAACCTGACGGGGCCTAATAATAGTGATTGCCTTATCATTTCCTTTCCCATAGTTTAAACTAATGGTGGTTTTTCTTATCATTCACTTTCCTATAGCTTTTCCACACTTTTGCTGGGGATGTGTTGGATTGTGTCTACGATAAATGGGGATTATGTTAAGCACATTGTCCATTACACATGTCTGTGATTCCATATATTTGTGTGTTTTGCTTTTTTCTTTGATTACATTTCTAAGGCTGAATTGTGCAACAAGTTTCCTTTCCTCAGGCAGCTCAGGGTGGAGGCAAAATCATTTTGCAGGGCCTGTATTCTGGCCTTGCTGGGAATCTAGCAGGGGTCTTACCGTGAGTATACCTTTGTCAGGTCAAAATTTGTCAATTTATTTGGTATTTCCTTGTTCATGCATGGAGCCTTTGTTATCATGGAATACTTACATTTATTCAAATCTTGGTTACTTCTTTAATGCTGCCTTCATTTAAGTATTTTATTGTCTCATGGGATCTCTCATGGCAATTGAAAAAGGGAATATGAAAAATAATGGAAGTATTCCGACTGCACCAGGATGACAGGTGGAAGTTTGTCATGGAAATGGAAGAGGTTTATAGTGCAGCTCTGAATAATGGATGGCATAATTTTTTCTTAGTGTTATTATTTTATGTTTTTTACTTTTGCATGAAGCAGTCTCAAATGCTTGATGATATTTATGCAGCATAAGTCTGCCTATGAATACTTATGAGGAGAACTTCCTTGAAACTGGAGGAATGAACTATCCTTTAATTTGGAAGATGATATTTTTACTGCATAAATGTGACACGAACCTTTTTTTTTACTAAATTATGGATTCGAATAATTGTCAATATGTGATCAGGAACTCTTTGTTTCCCATTTATATTACTCCCTGTCATTGTCTCTCATGCGAATGATTTCCAACATGTGGGTTGACAGTGTTTGATTTTTATGTACAGGGCTTCTGCTATATTTGTGGGTGTATATGAACCAACAAAACAGAAACTACTTAAGATTTTTCCAGAAAACCTCAATGCTTTTGCTCATTTGGTGAGTTAACAGAGCTTAAATTTCTGGTTTGGAATTCTTAATAGTTCTTAAATCTTATTGTTCTATAAACTTGGTTTTTTACCTCCAGTTTCTTTTTGTTTATGGTGATCCATTGAACATTTAAGGTGCAATTGTGCACACGTGAAAATAACCTTTTATAGCATTTACTATGCAATATTTAGTTTGTGATAATTGTGCCATGACATATAGTTGGTTTCTTATATTACAATTTACGTGTGTGTGTTTTTGTATCTGTCTGTATGTTTGTTTTTTGACAGCACCTTCTGTATAGTATTCCTATGTGGTGCATAAATCACTTCTAGGAATCTATCTTGTGGTATTACCCATTCTTTCACTTCTTGTGTGTTTTCTCCCCAATTCAGCATGTTTAAGGGAGAACACTAATTGAAGTTTTAGGAAGAATCTTCAGTGACCGGCCTGACCACTATTGGGGAAGTCAATGGGCTTTGGAAAGTCATAGTGCAGGGTATTCCCTTTTCAACAAAATGGTGAGATTGGTGATGAAGAGAGAGTCGGACCACATATTTATAAATTTCCCCCATGTTTTGTCCCTCTCTCAATAACCATGCATCCTTTAACTCGACATTGATGACCCCAATTAACTGTTGTTATGCGGTCCATTGGACCAAAGTATACTTTCCTTAAATAGTTGTTGGACGGTCTTTGATCCCTTTTCTTATACCCGATTTGTGTGAGAATGTCAGGAGTTTGAAGTTTGTCCTGATGCGCATAAGCTTATAAAAAAATGGTGTAAGCTCTAAAAGAGTTAACAATTCTCCTATACGCAAGTGCTAACAGAGGGGCTGCTACTCTTTTTTCTTTTCTTCTTTTTTTTTTGAATGTTAAATTGGGATCTGGTGGGAATGGAACTCTAAACGTCATCTTGTGGCAGCAGCCACCCTGACCTATAGCCAGTTCACATCGAAGTTGCTACTCTTGCTCTTGATTAGTAATTTTTTATTATCATGTGTTACTTATGGTAGCACTTCATGAAAAACATGTCGGTTATTTTGTTTGTGCTTTCCCTACCTGTCATTCTCTTTTGAAAGAGCTTATGATCCTTCACATAGACTGCAGGTGCCATTGGAGGAGCAGCCTCTTCTCTTGTTAGGGTTCCTACTGAGGTAATAAAGTTGATTTAAGTTGGATTTGCTCTTAGGATGGTTTGATGAGCTGTTATGAGAAAATAATAACTAAAGAAGTTGTTATGAAAAAAGTTGATCTAATAAGCTCCTACCTTTGTTAATCACTTTGTAGGTAGTCAAGCAAAGGATGCAAACTGGGCAATTTGCTTCTGCACCTAGTGCCGTTCGCCTCATTGTTGCTAATGAAGGTTTCAAAGGACTTTATGCGGTAAAGTACATATCCTTGTTTTTTTGATAAATTAGTATTCTTCTTTCAATTTCATTTCATCACTATGATAATTTTCTCTTTGCCCGTTGGCTATATGGTGCTCAAAATTGGTTGCTGATGCTGCCTTGATTAATGAACCCATTGATAAATGTCTTATATTTAAGAACATTGTTTCAACTGTAATAATCTGATCATTTTAATGAGGAAGCAATATCTCCAGAGCTGTAGCTCAACTGTTGTAGTGTTTTCTACCTTAAGGTGGCCAAGAATTCAAAACCACAATCATGCCCAAAAAATACAAAATGAGAGAGGCACAAAAAAAAACAACCGAAAGAATAGGAAAGTTGGTTGTTAAAAATTCATTCTAATAATTGGTATTTATTGTGGCTTGACGTCTGTTCATGCTACAGGGATATGGGTCATTTTTGTTACGAGATATACCTTTTGACGCCATCCAGTTTTGCATATACGAACAACTACGGATAGGTTACAAGATAGTGGTGAGCTGCTCTTTGCATTTGGTGTATAGTTTGATTTGTCTCTTCCCTTCTATTGTCTTATTATGGGTTTGTGTTTTGTATTTTCTTTATAGAAGAGTATCATTCATTTTGACAAGATCCAGTTTGTAGAAAGACCAGTTGTCCTAAATGATTGAAATTTGCATGTAAACTTGACTTAATGCACTTCTTTTTGCAATCACCACGTAACTCTGTGCTAGAATTACAAAGAGCTAGAATAGTCCATCTTGTACCCTATGTTTTCTCTCTCTGTGGGGGTTGGTAACTGCACAGGATAGTGATGTGTGCTATTGTACATGTTACACTTTGCAATGGCATCTTTCAATTGATAGATGTTCTTTGGAACTTCTTTGAACCAGTGTGGCATTGCCTTCTATGCTATTTGGTTTAGATCACAAATATATAGAATGCAAACCTATGCATAAAGAACAATAAACAGCTTGTTTTTTCTGCAGGGAAGAGCCACTATGGGTGAAAAGCATACCATAATCCTATAGTGTCTGGTATATGGTTCTCCAAAGGGGCATCCACCTTTCATGCCCAGTGATAAATGGTGGAGATTAACTGTGTGAATGTACCGATGGGTCCCGCTATGATTAATCTCCATTGTTTGCCATCTGGAACAGATGGTGGATGCTATTTGAGTACTATATACCATACCCCATTGTATTGTACAACTTCCGTCATGGAACTGCAAATTTCTTGTCAGTTACTCTCAAGTCAAACAAAGTAGTGAGAAAACTCATTTTCTAATTCCTTTTCTTTGCAGGCACGAAGGGATCTTTATGACCCAGAGAATGCTCTGATTGGTGCTTTTGCAGGTATTACAGCATTATTCTTATGCTTCTATGTGGTTTTGCAATCACCACATTGTTTTATGAGTTCCCCATTTCTAGTGGAACCGAAATGTAGAAGTTCTGTCCATTCAAGGTCCATGGAGAAGTAAAATCATAGTATGCTGAAGTAATTTAAAAATAAAATGGCTGGAAAGAACGTGTCTTTTCCCTCTTAATGCAAAATGATAATGATTTTTAAGTTATTTCATCGCCATTTCAGTTTGCCCTACTCTTGATTTTCAATTTTTTTTTGAGAATGTTAACTCTTATATATAGTAAAGGTTCCCAACAGCATAAGATTGTAGAAGCTAGCCACAAGAGGTTAGCAGAAGTACAGGGGGGAGAGAGAGAGTAGAGGAGACAGAATTAAAAGGCCATCTTTTAGAGGGTTACATTGAGAACAAAGCAACCAACAAAAAGCAACCCATCCAAAAATACAAGCAGTCCTTCACAAAGAAAGCCATCCAAAATCAAAGAAGTCCTTCACCGATAACTGCTGCTTTGGCCAGAGTGTCTGCGTCGTGGTTTACTTCCCTCCACATGTGCTTCCAGAAGACCCGAATTCCCCAGCAAAGGTGGAATATTTCGTCAAAGATATGAAACAGAGTCCAAGGAGTAGAAGAGATGTTTTGGGCCCAGGTGATCACGTTCGTGGAATCTCTCTACTTTCACGGTAGCAATCCTATGTATTGAGAGAAGCCTAATGCCCTCTAGGAGTGCTAAAGCTTCTGCCTCCAATTGATCAGACTTATAGGGCAGAAATCCTTTATGCATTCAGGGCCTTCTATCTTTGGGACTACGGCTATGAAAGTAGCATTCATAGCTCGGTGTATCACCCCTCTCGAGTGAAACTCTGAAAAGAGTGCTAAAAAGTTGGGCCTAAAAGAATCCCAGGCCTCTTTGACGGGTGCAATGGGGGAGTCCATCTGGGCCGGGAGACCTATCCGCTGCCGGACTAGAAATGGCGGACAGAATTTCTTCTAAGAATGATCTCTCTAGCCAGTGCGCTTTGTCAAGGGGGAGGGTTCGAAGTTGGAGGTCGCCCATCTCTGGTCTAGGCCAAGAGGGTGCTGTGAAAAGGTTTTTGAAGTAGGAGAACTGCTTCCTCGATCTCAGAAGGTTGGTCTAGGAGTCTGTCCCCCACTATGAGATGCAAGATAGTGTTATCCCTTCGCCTACAGTTGGCCATTCTGAAGAAAGAACCCTGTGTTGAGGTCCCCCGCCTTGAGCCATTTTACCCGTGACCTTTGGGACCAGTAGATCTCCTCTTTCTTCAGGATAAATTGGTAAACAACTTTTAAGTTAGACCTCTGGACGGATTCTGATGGCAGGAGGGGTCTGGATTCCTCTTCCACGTCCAAGTGTTTAATCTCCTCTAGAGTGTCCATTTCCTGGGATGCAAAAGAGCCTGGGAGGGTCCTACTCTAGACCTTCAGGTTACCTTTCAATAGCTGCAGTTTCCTTTGCAGCCTAATACCAGCCCACCCAAAGGCTGAGTTTGAGAGGGATGTCCACCAGGATGGTAACAGGGAGGAGAGGGACTTGATTTTCAATTTTGATTTTAACTTCTACAGAAAAAAACATTTTTCTTAGACCTAACACAAATTCTTTATATTAGCTATAGAGTTGTGCTGATCCCAAGAATGATTATGCATGCATGTATAATGATGACGATGATTACAATTTTAAACATCAATAATAATGATGCTTTTAGTAAGAGGAGCAAATAAAGCACACTGTATCAGAAGCTTCAACTCATGGTACAAAAAATCCCATGTTCTCAAATCCTCCCTACTTTCATCCACCTAAACTTAGTGTAGAATTCACCTCGCTAGAATATGACTCACATGAATCGCATGGGCCATAGACAATAAACTAAATTAAGAGCAACAAAACAGCAATTATCTTGGCCATAAAGCTTACTTTCTGAGCCATCCAACCTGAACTAATTTTTTTCTCAAAAGTTATTAGATTAGAACATGTTGCTTAGATACAAATATATGCAGTAGAAGGAACTAAATTTTGATATCTTCAGCTATTTACTTATAAATTTTTGCTTACTAGAATTTTTTCTGTATCAGTTTCATTATTGCATCTTTTGCAGGTGCATTAACTGGTGCTATGACCACTCCTCTTGATGTCATTAAGACCCGATTAATGGTGCAGGTATTGTGAAAAGATGATTCTCTTTCCACATATATTAGTTTTGTAATGCTCTTATATTCTCGATTTATCAATGTAAATTTTAATCTCACTTGCAGGGATCAACCAACCAATACAAAGGGATTTTCGATTGCATTCAGACAATTGTAAAAGAAGAAGGGCCTTCTGCTCTACTGAAGGTTAACTATTTCACCAACTTTATAGATTCTAAAAGTCTTCCGTAACCATCTGATATGGATGACTTAATCATACATATGTCATCAGAAAAAATATATAGCTTATTTTAATTGTTTAAGAAATTGAGTCGTTTCCTTTTGCAGGGCATCGGTCCTCGAGTACTCTGGATTGGAATTGGGGGTTCAATATTCTTTGGTGTTTTGGAGAGGACAAAGCTTATCCTTTCACAAAGAGATGCCAAGAAAAAGGATCATTAAATTGTTCAAAGTAATTTTATTCAGCAAGCAGTTTGTACTTGCATGTATTCTTTATCAATTGGCTCAAGAAAACATACTTGATTATGCTCACTCCACAAAGGATGCAAAGAATGCATGGCATGAAAAGACACAAATCTGAGCTGGTTGGCTGTCATTCACCTATGAGGAGGCTGGAAAGTTAACAACATCAGTGCCCAAAGGAGAGACAAGAATGAGATGAACCCTTTTGTTGCTGGGAGTTTGTTCTTTGATTTATTTTGAGTTTGTCATTCACCATGTGTTTGTTGGTTAGAGTTGAAGCTGAAATTGAAATGCGACCAATATCCATTGAAGTATCTCTCACCTCGAAAACATTTGATGTGGTGTTTTGTAGGATTGCAGTAGAAAAGAACTAATTTCATTAAGCTCTAAATTAACTAGCTTCCTCAAGATCAATGTGTGTGTATGAGAGAGAGAGAGAGAGACCAATGGAATGCCGTTGGGGTTTCTCACTCTTAGAATAGTTTCCAATGCATGATTGTAAACATGATATAATAGCATGGGGTCCATAAATGATAATAGCATGGGGTCCATAAATGGATCAACACGACCTCTCATCCTGGAATGAATACTGTAAACTCTCACACTAGAACTGAATTACATCTTAAGAAACTTTTCTTTTGCCAGTATCTCATAGGAAACTGGTCGGGATCAGTAACAGTGGCATCAAAAGCAAGAAACAATAATAGCAGCGAACACACAGCTCTCTCTACATATTCTGTTGTTTCACAACATGAAACCTTAATTCAGCAACCAATATCAAATATCATTCTCCAATATGCTGCAAGCGATCATTAGCCCTGTGTTCATTCCTAGAAGGAAACTAAACCTTTAACCATAGTTGAGAGAGTTGCTTCCCATTTTGGCAAGAGCTAACACAGTCTTTAGCTAGTTGTCTTAGATGTTCCTCTACATCCTCCATGGATAGACATGCATCAACAACCTGCAAGCCATTGAAATAAACAACTCAGGAAAACCTAGTCAGGCACATAAGGCAAAAGAAAAAGAACTGTTATTTGTCAGAGAGAGAGAGAGAGAGAGAGAGAGAGAGAGAGATTTATAACAAGTGTCTGACAAGTTTAAGCGTGTACCTTCCATGTGGGGTCATGAAGCGTTCTGTAATGTTGGTCCACTTTCCTTTGGAACTCAAGCTGTTCATATCTCTCTCCTCCATACCCTCCTCTCTCAGCAGCTTTCTGGGACATAGAAGTTCACCCGACCAAACAATTTACAATGTCATCGGCTGATATTAAAGATGAGAAATATCACACAAGAAACATCCAAAAATGAAATAAGAACTAAAATGTAATAAGCGATCAATCAAAATTAAAAAAAAAAAAAGGTTTTGATTCAAGAAAAGTGCCAGAATTAATATTAACTACCCAATATAATGTGAATATCTGAGATATATTGTTGCTTAGGGGTAATTTGGGGAAACCCAAAATGCAAAGGGTTGAGATAACAGTGTCAAGCCAAAATTCCTGATATTTCATGTATAACACAGGTTTAAAGAAATGGGACAGTATACTATCCTCAAATGGAATACAGGAAACCATAGTCCATTTGGATCATCACTGTCCAAGAAAATAATGGATGGTGATGGACAGATTAATACCCAAAATTGGACCATTTCCTCTAGATGGTCATGACTCTAATGCACTGTGGTTTTCCATAATCCATTGGAATATATTATAGTTTTCCTCATAAAATATATTTGAGATATACAGTACCTCAGGAGGAATATCTAAGTAGACTACAAGGTCTGGAGCCAACAATCCCAACTCAGGAGCCTGCAAAAAAAGAAACATTAGGACTTTAGAAAGGGCAAAAACAATAGAATTCATCATACATAGAGATCAAGATCTTTAGGTCCAGTAGAGATCACGAGTTCTTTCTTCTTTGAGCTAGGGGAGCAAGAGTTAATCATAGATAAAAGTTTTGGCACCCTAAAAATGCAAAGAAAGAAAAAGGAAGAGTTCGTGATATAGAGACAGGTATCATAAAACTGCACCTTACACCACTCAAGATCAAGACCTTTGGCAGCTGAGAAAGCCACACCAGAGTAAGAATATCTATCGACAATGAGAGTGGTTCCAGCCCTTAGCTTGTGCTCCATCAATGACCTGCCAAACACAAGCCTAGAATTAGAACAACCCAAGCGTGAGAGAGAGAGAGAGCTCTTGAATAAATAGGTGACATGGTATACTAACACCAGATTCATATAAGTTAGGAATCAAGAGCAATGACATGTATATGTAAAGAAATGGCAAGTCTAAGGTTAATCTTGTTGATCCAAACCTTCAATTTCAGCATGCGAAAAATACTTGTCATGCTCAACATTTAGTGGTAATGGTTTCCTAAGGAGATTGGTCTAATAAGGGTGAGGATCTTAAACTTCCCTTAACCCATCCCAAGCCTGGGTAAAGGAGGTGGGTTGAGTTTTTTTTTTTTGAGACTGTTAGCTCTTTATTGAAATGAAAGTGAAGATACAATTGCAGAGCCCCCCAAGGCGGGGCCAGATATAAAATAGACAAGGATAGGTTACCCCACAGGGGACCCAGGAAGAAAACTGTAAAATCTAAAACTTGTAAACGAGACCGGCAGATCCTTCCAGATGCATTCCTAATCTTCCGCTGTGGAGGTGTTAGAGGCACCTTCTTTGGCAAGGACATCCGCCTCAGAATTACTCTTGCTCCAAACATGGCTCCATGAGATCGAAATTCCAGAAACAAAGATGGGTGATCTCTTCGCAAGTGAGCGCCAATTCGCAAGGATAGGGTGCTGCTGCCGAGGCCCAGTGGACGACATTGCTGCAATCTCCTTTGGCGATGAGGGGAGAGAAGCCCAATGCGCGACAAAAAATCGCAAACCTTCAAAAAGCACAAGGGCTTCCACTGATTGGGCGTCGGAATGACCGATCGATTTGGAAAATGACACAAGAATGTGGCCCTCATTGTTCCGGAAGAGGCTACCTATGCCTGCATGGCCGGGGTTACCCAGGGAACACCCATCAAAATTGAGCTTGATGGTTCCTGAAATTGGGGGGGACCAGTGGGAATACCGAGAGATCCCGGGGTGAGAAAGGTGGAGGAGAGGTTGCCAATTGAGCTGGAATGCTGACCTCATAACACTTTTGAAGACTTTGTCCTAGGATGCCCAGAAGGAGACAAGGGACTTGATCTGATCGAAAAGCACTTCGGGGTATTTGTATATACCTTGGAAGATTCGATTGTTTCGCTCAAGCCAAATCGTCAAGAGGAGAGCAAAGATAGATGCCTTCTAGAGCAAGCGACCCGACTCTGCCAAAGGGGAAGGCAGCATAGAGGAGAAGAAACAAGGGATAGATTGAGGTGTCACCCATTGCCAGTTGAAAAGATTGAGAAGAAAACCCCACAAGGAGAAGGCAAAAGGACAATGAAGAAATAGGTGGGTGTTTGTCTCCCCCACCTGGAGACATAGAGTGCACCGGTTTGGCATGGGGATGCCTCTTTTCTAAAGGAGCTTGACTGTTAGAACCCTTCGGTGTAAGGTCAACCAAGTGAAGAACAGAATTTTGTGTGGCACCAAGGAGAACCAAGCCCAAGCTGCTAAAGAGGGGGGATTTAGGGGATAGGTAGGAGGTTGAAAGAGCTTTCGGAACAAGGATGAAACCGAGAAGAAACCAGATGGGTAGGGGCACCAAAAGAGCCTATCTTCACCCCTTAAAAGGAAGAATTGCTCCTCAAGAGGCACGGATAGATTAAGGAAGTCCTCCAGTTCAGAATAGCGAAGGGACCTCCTGGAAATGGGGCTCCATACCCGTCTGTGGCCTAGAGTTTGGAACACCTCCGCCACTAACTCCTGCTGATTCACCGAGAGGAGGAAAAGGGATGGGAAACGTTCAGCCAGGATGGATGAACCAAACCACAGGTTCAGCTAAAATTTGGTACGGCATCCGTCATGAACCAGAATCCGAGAATTCAGTTTGAAGGACATGAGTGTACTTTGCATAGTACCCCAGAAACTGGAAGCCCTACTGTATGGCCTTGATGGGGGAGCCAGGAGGAAGTTTGCAAGTTGTATTTCTGCTGTAGCACCGACTTCCAGAGGTGGTTGGGTTGAGTGGCGTAGCGCCACCACCACTTACCCAAGAGTGTCGTATTGGTGAGCTTGAGATCATGAATACCAAGGCCTTCGAGGGATCGCGGTGCACACACTTTGTCCCAAGACAACAGGTGGAACTTACGCTTGTTGCTGTCCCCTTCCCAAAGGAATTGTTTCATCAAGAAGTTAAGGCGCTTGGGGATCTGTGCAGACATCTTGAAAAAGGACATTTGAAATATCAGGATGCACAAGAGGGTTAGTTTGATAAGGGTCGTTCTTCCAGCCGGGGAAAGAAACACATATTTCCTAGACGCCAGCCTCCATTCGAACTTATCCCACTAAAAACATATCCCATATGCCCACAACACTCCTATAAGTCCCCAAAATATTCAAAACAGGGCTCCTACCCTCAAACCCCTAGTTGGAAGCATGGCCCGCAGACCCTGCCAATTAGGGCCAGGGACCAGAAGGATCTGGGAAGATAGGATAAATATTAAATTACATATAGAATTCAAGATATAACTATACACAATGATGTGTAGTTATTTACCACCCCCTGAATTCAAGACTTCAGAGGGTGGTAACATTAACAAATGGCTATTTTGTGGACTCATGACCCAAGTTAGGATAGTGGGATAAATTGTGTGATCACTACTGGTAAATTCAGATCAGAGGAGTTCTTCAATTCCAACTGGATCATGTGCTGGTCTTAGTGTACCTATGATGAAAATGAACCAATAAACTGGGCTTCTATTAAATAATAATCTAGCCTAAACCAGACTACAGACATCTTGACCAGAACATCCATACTACTAGTAACATAGTCATAACTCTCATTTACTTTAAATTTGGACTTTCAGATAATTGCTGCCATTTAAGTTACTGGTGTGGCCTTATTTCCTATCTGAGCAATACCTTTAAAGTTTAAAATCACTGATCAGCAAAAGGAAAAGGAGACCGAGTTACACTACTGATTAACGAAAAAGATAAAATCTTAATTGCTGGGACTTTAATTCAATTCTTTTGAATTCCATGAGAGAAAAACTCATTCACTTGGACCATTTATTTCTTTGCACCAAATGATTCGGTCTGAAATATGAAAAAGCGTAATTATAAAAATCAACGGTTTGATGTTACCCTAAATACAGCCCAATCTATAAGACATATCAGCCTCAAGTCCATCCAAGAAAACTATCAACCAATAAGATCTAGATGCCAGAAATCTCTAACAGAACCAATCCAAAAGCTATGACAAAAGACCATTCAATTATAACCAAATAAGTAGAACAAATAGAGAACCACTTGTCTGGAAAAAAAAAGAGAGGCAGAAAACCAAACACCAATTATATGTCCACTGCATAACAATCCAAACTTCATTAGAGAAAAATTACCGGAACACCCAGAACCTAGCTGAACCAACACAAGTGCTATAGCAAAAAACCAGTTTTTCTTCTAAAAAAAAACATAAATCATTTTAGTAAAATTGCCCCATTCGTGAAAGCATTTACCACTCTTCCTTCTCAGTTTTCAGTAAAATCCAATCATTTACCAACAAATTAAACTTACCCAACTTCTTGAACCTCCTAATATCAGCAAATATATCAATAAACAAACAAAAGATATTATTCTTTGTCGCCACTCATACAAGAGAAAGAACACCCAATTCATTTATTCCCCCCCTCTATTTCCAGTAAAATCTTAGCATTTACCAAGAAAACAGGTAAAATTCACTAATTTCCAGTAAAACTCACCTCTTTTCCCATCTATTCGCACTGAAAAGCAGATGAATTGTTCGATCATCAAGATTCGATTCATTAGAGAGATATGAAGAAATCATATTTCCAACGCTAGTTGTTCGATCCGGAAAATGCCATGATTCAACTGGAAACCCTAATCCCTTCAAGTAAGAGACCAGTCTCAAGCACTGAGAACTTTTCCCACTTCGATCCAGGCCTTCCAAAACGATCAGAGCTCCCCTTGCTCCATTTCCATGGCCATTGTCCATTTGAATTTGAGCAGAGAAGGACTTGGTGGGCGATCTCAAGCGGGAGAAGATGGAATTCCTGAAAATAGAGAGATGGGTTTGTGAGAGCGAGGAGAGAGAAAGACCGTTATATAATAGCGAGAGAAAATGGAGCTTTTGGGGAGAGTACGAGGAGAAGATGACTGGAGAAGTTGGAAAAATGGGGAGGAGAGAGAGAGAGAGAGAGAGGGAGGAAGAGAGAGAATTACAGTAATAGCATCCAGAGAGAGAGACCGAGAGAGAGCGAGAGACTTAGAGAGAGAGACTTACAGGGGTCTAGAGATGGAGAGAGAGTGGCCTTGTAAACGAAGCATCTCTCTCTTCGCCGATGATGGAAATGGCGGGAAAAGGCAAGGTAAAAGTCGAAGGAAAATATTAACCATTGATGCATGTATGTATGTAATCATGTGAAAAGTCACCAGCGTTAAAATTTGGGACGCATGTCAATCGTTCAATGATGTAGAAAATGGAGAGTGATTATACGATGTACCACGCCAAATGGAGAGTGATTATTAGATGTACCACGCCATAGGAATGCATTGTCATAATACCTTAGTTAGTGTATTTGTTGATATCATGCTAAGCTTATATTTTCCAATAGAGCCTCCTCTTTTTCTTTTTTTTTTGAACGACCGATAGAGCCTGCTCTTCAAGCTTATGTTTTCCAATAGTGCTCCCCCTTCATCATCTAGTGTTTATTCAATCCTGCATTTCTTATATTTTTTGAGTAATTTAAAAATGGATTATAAGGCTCAAAGTCGGGAGTTGGATTGGAATCAAGAGTTTTTCTATTTTTCCTTTCTTTCTTTTTTTTATACTTGTACCGCAATACAAGTAGAATTGCCAGACCCAGATCGGGCAAATTGGAATCCCACCCTAGTGATTGAGGACGGAATTCATTTAAATCCATTTTTTAAGGGAAATTCAATCAATCCTCCTCGGGGACTTGTCTTTGCATGCTTTCTCAATAGAAACCTCTTTTGCAGTTTTTTCCTTTGTCCTGCCCTCTCTCGTTGAGTAATTTTTTCATGGGAAATTCATAAAAAATACCCATAAGATATTAATTATTTAACATTTTACATGTTTGTAACTATTTATAGTAGGATAGAGTTGCGGCCCTATCAAAACAAGTAAGCTTCACCTCATAGCTCAACGAAAATTACAGTTCAAGCATTGAATAATTTTTACATCAATCATCTGGATGTGAACATTATGTTTGTGAAAAAATTTAAGATTTTAAGCTCTAAAAATAGTGTATATTGTAACAAATTATTTAGGCTGTCCATTTCGCCCTTAAAAAAAAATGTTCATAGATCCGAAAAATCTTTGCTATTTTTGTGAGTTTCAAATCTTATTATAGGTGTGTTTTTTCTTTTTATAAAGTGCGATGAAGTTTACATAAAGGAAAATAGAAAAGGGAAAAAAAAGAAAAGAAAAATGAGAGAGAGAGAACACATATAAGGATTTGTCCATGACCACACTAAGTCTCTACGGAACGAGGGTAGGCTGAATACACTACGAAATAACATTGGACGAGTCTCCTTCAATGATCACCTTCATATGGGATTGGTCAAGGCGAGACACACCCATCTTCAAGGCCCAAAGCTCAGCTTCATTAATCTCGCAAAGATGGAAACTGCCAGAGTAACACCAAATGAGGGGGGCACCGGTGTGATCACGAAGTAGCCCTCCAAAACCAAACCCAGCACCCCTCACATTGCCATCGAAATTCAGCTTGTAGATTCGTCTAAACTCGACGAATCAGGGGACGATGCTTCCTTAGTAAAAGAAGGTATTTGAAGTGGGTAAAGAATAGAAGGCAAGGCACCGCTGTAAGAGGAAGAGATGCATAAGCCCACATAATAATTGTGCGTTGTATCACAGAGCGCAAAGTTAGGATGTCTCTAGACCGGCCCTGAAAGGTTCTCAAATTTCTCCATTTCCATAAAGTCCAAAGGGAAGCGGTCCAAAGATTCAACCCCAAAGAAGCAAAATGAGAATTCCATACTTGTTGCAGCACAGTATGGACATCTTGTGACCACAGACCGTGCCAGGTAGCCAAGTGATCAAGTCAACCCATAATGCTGCTGCGTAATTGTATTTGATCAATCGTCTCCTTGTCCTCCTTGCAAAATCAGGCAAACATTGGTGATAATCATGCTTTTTCTTCAAAATTGGTCCACAGTGAGCAATCTTCTGTATGCAAAGAGCCTGAGGAAAGATTTGACCCGAGGATGGTAATTTGCTTGCAAGCAAAATCCTTGTCCGGAAAGCAAAATACCATTGATAAATGCTTTCTCAAGAAGGATTTGAAGTGAGACTTTATTTTGTTTTCATAAAAGCCTTTTAAAAACTTCATCATTTAAACTCGTGATCATGTACATCTACCTAAAAAAAAGAAGAGAAGTCTATTTCGATAGTTTTGAAATTAAATAAAAAATATATATTAAATAGCTCATCTTTTATTGATAGCTCATGATATTGAAATAAAGGAAGGGATAAGTCTATTTCGATAGTTTTGAAATTAAATAAAATATATATATTAAATAGCTCATCTTTTATTGATAGCTCATGATATTGAAATAAAGGGTGCAGCCTATATAGATCCGAGGCTCTAAACAATCAAAATAAACCGCACCTTCAAATAGCGTCGAAAAATGTAGTTTCAATACTGAAAATCTTTGCGATAGCCTTAAAATATATTTTAATTTTTAATTATAAAATTTAAAGCTTAAAAAATCATATAAATCAAACAGATCTATTAAAACTTGAAAATCAATGTTCCAAAAATGTGCTTGAAGATGTGCACTATTTCCAAAACTTAAAATCCGTTTTTTTCTCATGTCCATGCATCTTGATATTGAGTTTGTAGATATTTGAGCATTAAAACCACCTCTACCAGTAAATTTTTTGAGGTGGGCTCTAATTCAAATGTTTAGAGCCTCATCTCTATATAAACTTTTTTCTGAAAAAAGTTTCCTTTTTTTTTGGGTTAATTTCTATGGCTCCTTTCCCATGCAAATTGCAACTTTCCCAGTCATCCATCTCATCTCTCTCAACAAAAGAGATCACATGCAACTCTTCACTCAAAATGAAAAAAAAAAAAAAAACGATGTTTGTTCTAGAACACTTTTCTTTTTGATAGTTTTAGGTAGGTAGATGCTTTTTACATAATTAAACCAAAATATACCCAACATACCCGCCTATGAGATCCTTTAAAGTTGTACAAATTTCACAAGAAATTCATACCAAAAAATATATATATTTTTTACTCTACAAAAGAATAAAAAAAAACTCCCTTGTACAACAAATAAAACCCACTCATCGTACACTTCTAGCACCACCTCAAAACCCCAAAACTTCTCCAAATTTACAACACGGTACAAACCCAAAGCAATCTCATATATACATACACGCACATAGAGAGAGACCTCATCTCCATCACCCCATCACATCAGCGGCAAATATGCACCGCCATGCCCCTTCCTCAACACCAAAGGCCCTGCCGACTCCGGCACCCGGTCCAATGCAGTAGCACACACCTCCACCACATCCCTAAATCCTGTTGCCACCGCCGCAACCTGCATTCTCACTCTTAAATCTCTCGTCCTCTTCAACAACGCCCTAAAAGACCTCCCCAAATGCCTAGCCCACTCTATAGGCAAGCCACCTGGTGTCAGCCAAGCTGACAATTGCGATTGCTCTCCTCTAGCTGTGACCTCGGACCTATAAAACCTCGCTAGCTCTAGTAACATGCTAGCTAGTAGAGGCAATGCTGCTACAAATTCATCTAAAAAGGCCTCTATGATGTCGGGTCTAAGCATTTGATTCCAAATGACTAAGACCCACTCGCTGGGTTGGTTTAGGCCATAGGCTTCGGCCACAGCTAGGGCTTCAGGGAAGCGGGCTTGTTCGACTAGGGCACGGCGTGCGTTGGTCTCAGATAGGTTGAGCCACATGTGGTCGGGCATGCGTATCTGGAGGCAAGGTTTAAAATAGCTGTGAGATGTCCATTGTCTGTGGAGGAGGCAGCCTGTAACATTACATAATGGTAACGGGTGCAAAACCCTCCCATTATGTATAAATAACTGGAATTTCTTGTCCTATAAATGACGGTTGACACATAATTCTCTTCGCAAAATATTTTGCTGAATAATGGTGAGGAAAATGTTTTACGCAATGGTGCAGGACAATTGTTTTCTCAATATGGGGGAGAACATTGTACCAACCAACTTAAAAGAAAAAGGTCATTTTTTTAACCGAGGAAAATGATCCTTTGAGACCCAAACCAGCAAAAATCGTTTCGGACACTAGTCTCCACCACCGGTGGGCTGCCAAAGGCGATAGAGATGATATGTAACTCACATTGAAGGGCAATCGAAGAATTTCAATGAAGATACAGATCATCTCGACCATCTGTGGTGGCCACCAACAGGTCAGATCAAGGTCCCATATGTTTCGTGTGGAACCATGTCTAGTATGATCATTTTCCTTTTGAAAAAGAATAACTTAAACTTTTCCCTTTGAAAAATTTATGTTTTCAAAAAAGACTTTTTAGAAGACTGATCCCCATTTGCTCCTTTCTTTCACATATTTCCGTTATAACTGCTGTTAACATTACCATTACATAATGATGTTTACCTGGAGTGCGGTTAGGGAGGCCTGGGCACATGCTTGTCGTGTCTTGTTACCAGCATCAATAGTGGAGTAGGACTCAGCAGCTTCAACATAGAAACGCATGGAGTCGAGGAGCTCCTCACTACGCTCTCTGTCATGCTGGAGGAACCATTGTTGAAGTGAGCGGCGTGCACGTGACTCGAGCAAGGAGGATGTTTCATACTTCATGTCGAAGTGATTGTAGACCTGCAAAGCCCCCCCATAACAAATTCATCAGATATTAGGGTCAAATTTCTTTTATTTATTTCTACTTTTTGGGGAGTTGCTGGGAAGAAGTTCCAGCCAACTCTTTCTGATCCACCCATGTTTTTGGTGAGAATAGCACAAGAATGGTTGCGGTTAGTGAACACATCAGTGCAAATAGCAATTCCAGGAGATATGAAGTTCTCTTCGGTAAAGTCAACTTTAATCTTTGTTGAGAATAAAGTACATCTCTATCCCATGAGAATGGGTTCATTAGTGTCCAATGAATGATGGACGGCGGTGGAGAGTGCCCCCCCCCCAAGCATCACATGCACCTGATAGTAGGTCTCATTCTCTCTATCACCGTTCATCATTTCCTTGGGTAGGCACGACCCTGATAGCCAATGAAGATATCAATTACCACTGGATTACAGTGGACCTTCCTCTAAATTGAGAGAGATACAACAGAAAGACCAGATGGGTGCACATAAACTAACCATAGCAAATGCATCGAGATCATGAGGATTGAAGTGCTTCAACGATGAGAGAACAGCCATACGGAACCCTCTCACCGCCTCAGCTGCACCAGTTGTTGAATCCGCAACTGAAAACTTCTGAAGTAGAAGCTCGAGTTGTCCATTTTCAATCAGTATATCAAGGATAAAATGCAACGCATGGAAATTGCTCACTCCAGTCACAAGACGAGCTAAACATGAGAAATCCCCTTCGGCTACATAAGACTCCACCCTGGTTGCTGCAAGGGCTACCAGGACATCCACCCCATCAAGGCATGCAGAAGACTTGTAGAAATGGTGCGACAAAATGAGTAGCTCGACCTGCTTGCATTGTTAAAGTAAGCAAATGGGTGTAACAATCACAATAAACAAATCTCAATAGCAGAAACTTGGGTTTTTTTTTCTTCTTTTCTCCCTAGAAAGATCTCTCCAACATTGCTGTTATCTTCCATTATTTAGAAAGGAAAAAAAACTCACTTTCCATAGGGTACATATGATAAGATAATGTGTACCATAACTCAATGGGATATGCTATGCAATACTATAAAGGAACCAATGTTGTGGATGGATGCCCTCCCACATCGTAAATATCCCGACAGGCCCCACCATCGCTAAGTATAAGAATCTTGACATCAGAATTCAAAATTAATAAGTGAATACCTCGCATGCATGTGGAATATCATGTCCAGTTATCACTAGGCGCATTAAGGCATGGCCAATTTCAGGTTCAGATGGACACAAGTCGGCCCACTTTATGAAATCAGAGAGCCTCCACAAAAGAGGAGCAGGTCCTTCCTCCTTCTGAGAATCCATATATCCTCCACGATGTGCAGCCAATAGACCCTGTGAAAAGAAAACCCTAAGGTCACCATCAAAGTAGGATGGTATCACTTGAGGTAAGAAAAGAAAGGCTCATAAGCTACATGCCTTTAAAAAAGATTCGGCAAGAATACGTGCAATGCTTGACGGAGGAATGAAATGGGTTTGTAATAGAAGCTTGGCTTCCTCAAGGGAATCTTGTGCTTTAAGAGAAAGCAGTTGAAGCAATTCAATAGGCCGTTTCTGAAAAGCCTCAGAAAATGTAAGTCCCAACACATTTGCAGCTTTCACAACTGCGATAATTCTCATACACAATCCACGGCCACTTCCTTCAGTGCATTTTGTTGTTAAAGTCTCTAAAGCCTGCCATTTGTAGCAAATAAATGGCACTACGTGAATAAGTATTTGATTCCATCAGTCAAAATATAGCTAACAGAGACATAGTTATGAAAAGCGGAAAGTATAGCGTAACCCAATGGACAATGGTTTAAAACCATTGTTGATTGGGGTCATCATTCCCATTGACATAGATTGTGATGGAGAGAAAGGGACCCATCATTGGGGTCATGTCCTGTTCTGGGAGTTCACTTTCTTCCATTGTCACCCATCATTTTATTGCATGGTGATGACTCCATAGGACTCCGGTTTTGTATAGTCCATTGCAATATATTATATTTTCCTTTTAAACGTCTACAGCTGTAAAATGCATGCATAAATCCTACATGTCCTGATGCAAAACAAACTAAACATACAAATAGCGAAAACCTGCAATGGATTGGTCACATGATTGTGATCCAGTATTTCGTATGACTGCATAACTGACAGGGTATCTGAATCAAGAGAACACAAGGATCCCTCTCCACTAGTGCCAGGAGTTGAAATGGAGGCAAGCTTAAGAGCAACATCTACCAGCACTATTTCAGTTGGAACATGAGATGGAGAAAGTTTTTGTTGAAGTTGCTTCGCTGCTGTTATTTGACCAAACTCTAAAAGTGAGAGAACAGCCCTTTCCAACTCTGCAGGTCCCACCCTCTCTTCCCATCCCGAAACAGAGGAATCAAATTTAATATTTTCCTCTTGTAACTGAAAGTTCTTGAATAATTCAATGTTATTCCTAGAACTTTGCAGAGAACTGAAGCTATCTTCATTATCTTGGTTCTTATCAGCAGTATCAGTAGGGAAACGCCTTGATGGTAGATAGCCTTTAGCCCTTCGTTTTGTCTTTGTGGTACTGGCTGAAGTTTCTGAAATTTGTGCATAGCGAGACACTTGGTTATTTTCCCTTATCTCGCTTCTTTCTGTGGTTCGAGTCCTCATAATTTGTAAATGACTGTCCATTTTTGCAATGATACTCGCCGTTTTCTCAATAATGCTGGTCTCATTTCCATCCTGGTTGGAACTAGAAGAAAACAAAACTCTGCCAGCTTTTACCTGAGCTTCTGATTCCACAGCTAAAAGCCATACTCTAGTCTCAATTTCACGCAATAGATGCAAAGGATAAACCCTGCAAAATTAAATAATGAATATAAATGTAATAAACAATACACGACTTCATATCTAAAACAGAAAAAAGGAAGAAGAATGCCATACACAGCCAGTGGTTCCACCATCCATTCTCAAGATGAACAGTGGATGTCCAATGCGGCTCTGAAGAGAGAAATTCAGCCCAGAACTATATTGATTTCTGCCTGCTGTGGTGGCAACAGACAGGGCCGCCCCTGGCCCTAGCCCGCCCCTAATCCCCTTAGGGCTGCGGCCGTGGCAGGGCTAAGGCCCGGCCTGGCAAAAAGGCCATGGCCCAAGCCTGGACCTAGCCATATCCGGGAAGGGCCATGCCAAAAGAAAAAACAAAGAAAAAGAGAGCCGTGGTTGCTTGGCCCAGCCCGGCCCTCAGGCCACATTTCATAGTCCATGCCCGAGTTTTTTAGGGCTGCGCCGGGCCCTTGGTGCACCATATGTCTATTATATACACTATACACAGGATGTCTATTATATATTTTTGCAGAAGGAAATCACTTCATGACTTACGGTAGGGACTGGGTTAGGCTTCCACTTAACCACTGTAACGAAAGGAGAAGCATTTCATGTAGCTCTCTAGCTGGAATATCCTTTTCTACTGCATCTGCATGCTTAAGGAAGAACAAACCAGCCTGCATAAGAAGCCACGGGTAAAATTATGACATAAACATTTGGGTCAAGGAAATCTTCTCGACATAATCTGTGCCTATTTGACATATATTGTCCATGAAGTTTGAAAGCAACCTGTAGGCCAGGAAATGAATATCTAAGGAACAGGGTTTGACAATGGCCCCATAAAGCAGCTTTCTCTTCAGGAACATCCCAAAGAAACTCCTTCCACTCTGCCACCATTGCTTCAGCCTGAAAGACAAGTGGATTTCAAGAGAGCACAAAAGATGTGTGCATATTCCTATTAGGAAAATATTAGCATTACTTATTTTTTTCTAAATGTCAGCACTTGAGAATGCACTTCTTATCTTTCTACTAGTGTTTAATGTAATACATGCAGAGAAGTGTGAGCTGCAATCATGGTAGAACAACATACAAAATGAACAATAAACAATTGACTCTCTTCCAAATTATCACTACTGGCAAATGCTACACATGCAAATAAGTGAATAAGAAACCCATGAATGCATAATATTTCTTACCAAGTTTATGTAAATGAAAAATCTCCCTTCCTATCTAGGAAAAGTCATGAGATATAGATGCTTCTAATTATTATTTCAAGAAACCACACATTAACTCCTTTCAAATGACAGGGAATACTACGCTTGATGGGAAAATATAAAAGTTCATATGGATGGAGCCTTAGAGCAACAATTTTAGAACCTATATTTTGCAGGGTACACAACAAGTAGGTGCAACTACCATAAGGAAAGATCTTGATCTTGTTCATTAAGCACCCGTATAGGACATATTTGTGCTAAACAGTTGTTCAGCTAGATGGTATCAACTCTGTCCAATCCAAGTGAAATCAAAGTTTCATATCAATATTTTTTTTTTTTGGTGCAGTGGTTCTCATATCAACACTAGATGCTAATCTATTCATCAGAGGAATTGAAACCTGAAAAATGGACTCCTTTCCATAAATTTCTATGCAGTGGCTGTAATCATTTTCATTTATCACAGCTACTAGAGAAACATCTTAAACAACAAGAATACCTGCATTTCCGTCACATGATGAGCAGCTGATCTCCACTGTGGACCACTTAATTCTAATTGTTGGGCCCAAGTACGAGCTTGCTCCCAATGGCCAATCTTCTCTAATGCAGTCAATAAACCAGCATCATCAAGGGATTCATCCCCCAAGCATAAGCCATCATTTTGGCGTAAAGAAGGCTCCGCCAAATTAATTTTCCAATAAAGTCGCCGATAGTGTGCAGATGCAGATCCCCCGTCTCCAAAATCAGCACCAGAAAGAAGTTTTAATAAGCACCTTTTCTCATATGCTGATGGGCAAGTTGAAAGCATTGCATCTGCTGCTTTCACAGCTGTTGCAGTAATCCATGTTGTCCCTATATGCTCATCTTTAGGTATATTCGTGTGTATGTATTGGGGCTCTTCTTTGATCCTGGCAGAGAACGATGCTAGGTGCGCTGAAGCTTCAGAGAGTCTCATTTGTGAAAATGCCTGGAACCAAATTGGAAGAAATAAATTGACGCATTTAAAAAACATCGAAATTCAAAACCAAGCACAAAGGTTTTACGAAGAAATTGAATTTCATACAGTAATTCAATTGAGATAAAACAGTCAACATGAGAAAACCTACATCTATTATGTGTACCTGGAGAGAACGGATAAAAGGTACCAATACACATGAAGGAATGAACATCTCAAAAGCTCTCAGTAAAGGAAGAAACAAACGTTGCTCACAAAGTATGGCAACCATCTTTGACAGAGAAACACGACCATCATCTGGATCTCTCATAACACTTATCATTTCATCAGCCTGTTTCTTTCTTGCCTCTTTAGCAGGGACCCCTTGAGATAGGGATAAGCTAATAGCAGGGGAAGTAAATGAGGGGCTTGTAGGAGAACTAACAGAAGTATTCTCAGAAATGACTGTTTCCATCAGACGCCTTCTTTTAGGCTTCCTTCTATTATAACGTATAGTTAGTTCTCTGCTGCAATTAGGTAGTGTATTGGTTGCTTCTACAGCTGCAGCGACATTAGCAGTGATCTGGGAGGAAATGTCATTCACCTTGATGGATGAAGTTTCACTGTAAAGATGAGAGGAAGTTATCAACACAGCGTCACAAATCCAAGCATGGGGATAGCTAATTAAGAAACCAAACAGTTAACACAAAAAGAGATATACAAAAATTCCTTCTTTGAAATCTTACTTTCTGGACTCTCTCTGTCTCTCTCTCACACACACACAAAAAAAGAAAAAAAAATATAAATATACACATAAAATAAAGATAATATGAAGCCAATGGGCTTATGCTAGTCTCAGTCCATTGGCCGAACAACAAATAGCTAGAGGAATTTTTTTCTCGGGCCAAATTTTGCACAATCTCATTGATTCAACAAAAGATCAATTTCAACCAAAACAAAACAAAATTCGAGTTCTTGGAGACATGGATGGTCTGCGTTCACTGTTTAGGAGCCGAATTAATTTGGACCATTTTAATGAGCAAATTCTTTTTTCTTTTTATTGCTAGGATGCGATGAGCATGTGTGCAAAGTTTGGGATCCAAAAGCTCCCTTTAGCTCCAATGGGCTTATGCTACAAGATAAGCTCAATGGCTTATTATCTGTTTCTGTATCTTTTTCCACACAGACACACATGCATGCACATACGCGTGCACTCAGAAACACACATACACCCACCCACCCACCCATCCACACACATGTATATATATGTATAGGTATCACAAAATTTTCCACTCAAAATCTAGAAGATAATGCACTATGAAACATATGCAGTCTATAGTAGATGTCTATTCTATAAAATACTGGAAATTGGAAAGGTAAATGGAATCATCAATAAAAGGTCATCGCAAACCTTGCTGCTGTTATCTCCAGCCAAACTGTTAAACAGGTGATCGGAGATACATCTGGAAAGCATGATGCTATCATTGCCAAAAGAGACCAACGTAAATCTTTCGCTTTTAGTAGAAGGGCTTCACCAGAATTTTTTTGTTTCTCAGCCTCAGCAACAAGTTCAAAAAGTTCCACAGGTATCATACTCTCAAAACATGTAGATATCCCATTGTTTTTGCCTGTACTTGCTGAGCTGGTTGTGGAGCTTGATTTTGCTTTTGTTGACATACTTTTCAAAACCGTTAATATGTGGCACTTAAGGCGAGGATCAGTGAACTCCTTTGATGCCTGAAGAGAAAAACTGCTAGTTACAAAAACTAGGCCATATATATATATATATATTTAATTGGTAATATACTCAGTTCACCTAATATTATGCCTGAAAATACACCTCAAACTTCAAATACTTCCTTGTTTAGTACAACAAAACTCACCACTTGAATGAGAACATCAAATTGGCATCCCTCTAACTGAGCTTCTGTCAGAAAGCCAACCTAAACAAAAGCATCCAACCTTCATGATTCGACCATGGAACAAGCGAAAGCAAAAGTGTGAACTCAAAAGATGGAAAAAACTGAGGGAACATACCCAGTCATTGTCTTTTGCAAGGGCAGCAAGATACTTTGTGCTGATGGGGAGATGATGCATTTGGCAAAATGTTGTAACTAAATTCCAGTATTGGCTAGCAGCTTTTTGTTGGGATCTCAACTCAGCTCCATCACCCTTGCCACTCAAAAGCCACGATCCACAAGTCTGGCCATCAATCATTACAGGCAAACTAGCTTTTTCCAAATGTTGCAGGACAGTCTCAAGAACCCTAGAATGTCTCCGAGTAAGAGGAGCTTTTGCCCGCTTTCCAAGAAGCCTAACATTATCATGATCCAGATAGTCGTCCGCTAAGGATTGAGCAAGAGACAGGGTAAATTCACCTTCATTTGATACAACATGAAATGGAGAATCCTTTGGTGAGAACTGTTTAAGATTCTCATTGGCCCCCATAGACTTGTAAAAGGATGAAATACGACGCAAAGCAGCCACATCGACACGCAGTGTGCTAGCAGATTGTCCACAAAGCTCCAAGAGAAGAGCGCAAGATGCAACCAAAACAGGATCCTCAAAGTGCAAAGTTGCAAGTGGAATGACCTGAATATGTTGTGAATAACAGAAACATCTTAGGATAATACCAAATAAACAGGGGAATCAATAATAAGCATTGCCACAACATCATTTCCTCCGAAAAGAATGTGAAACAAAGCTAATTATTTCAAGAAGGAAAAATTTTATGTAGAGCCGAGGCTCTAAACAATCAAATTACAGCTCACCTCAAAACATTCACTAGAAGAGGTTATTTTGATGCCCAAATATCCTCAAATTGATCATCTCAACATCAAGATGCATGGACATGAAAAAAAAATGGATTTCAAGTTTTGGAAATAATGCATCTTGTAATGCATTTTTGGACCGTCAATTTTTAAGATTTTCAAGCTTTCATAGACCTGCTTGATCTACAATATTTTTGAAGCTTTAAATTTTATAATTAGATATGAAAATATATTTTAAGGCTATCACAAAGATTTCCAGTATTAAAACCACATTTCTTGACAATATCTGAAGATGCGCTCTACTTTGATTGTTTAGAGCTGATGCTCTATACAAACCGCACCCTTTCAAGAAATCACGAGTGATACTAAGATCACAAGAGAGAGGTGTCTGGTTTTGATGTATTTATGTATTTTACACGCCATTATAAATTAGGCAAAGAGCATGCTTCATAGAATATCCAGGAAAATAAATAATCAGATCACGCCACCCAGAATGATGAAACTAATCATGGTAATTTGGTCACTTTGGTTTCAAAATAAAGCACCTACCGAAGAGAGAAGGGATTCTTCATTTTGAGTTAATGGCGTTAGAAGTCTTTGGGAGTCTGACTGAACATTAGTTGATCCACGTGTAGAACTTCCTTTTCGTTCTAGATCAGCATGACCTGTTCTCATTCTCTGGGCACGTACGCCAAGGAGATGGTGGAAAGCTGCCAATGCACGACCACGATGCAAGTGGTGCTCAATTCCATGCCCATTTTCCTACATGCATGAGGAACTAGTAAGATGACATATCTTTACTGGCAAAATCAATTCGAACAGTGAACCTTTTCTTCATCATCTTTTGAAGTTCGACAAGTCATCATCTGTTTTAAAAAAGAAAATCATCTTACCAATGACGAAAATGAAAAAACAGAGCTCATAACACGGCCCAAGTACATGAAAATATTGCTATATTGTAATATTAAATTTCCATGATAATGTTATTAACTGTAAAGTTTTGCAAGGATGATGAAGATAATGATAACATTGCAAGTAATCTATTGTCCTAAAAGAACATTCTTCAGCTTATGCAAAACACAGGGCACACTGCAGAGTTCAGAACCTCATAAACATCAGCTCAAGTGTATGATCAATATATACCACTCAAACTAGTAATTCAATGATACTATTTGTCTTTCACATGCATATCTAAAAAAGAAGTAGCAATTAACCATCTAGTGAAATGGAAAATTAATCTATAAGTTAGTTAACCCGAATTGCCAGTCAAATAACTCTGTAGTAAGGAGCCCCACTTATCAGGGGCCTAAAGGAGAGGAACATCAATGAGAGATATCACATCCCAGGCAACAAAATTAAAGGCCATGAGATAACTCAGAAGCCCATGATTGAGAACTTGAAGATCTAAAGGGAGCTGCCTTTAGGAGCTTCTACTGAGATCCTAATCAGGGTCTTCATTCGGTCCAACTAATTCCATGACGCAGTATCCAGTTCAATTAATATTGGGTCAAGTACTCAAATTGAGACCGAGCACAGCCTCAATTGAACCGAAAGTCGAGAATATTCAGCTCAGTTAATTCTGTGGAACTGCAATTAGAAGCAACGGGGAAATGAAACAGTAGGATTTGTCAATTAGCGAGAATCCCGTGCTACTCTATTATTAAAAAAAGTAAAAGAAAGAAAGAAACAAGACTGAATATTTACATTATTGCAAGCATTAGTAGGCGGTACCATTAAACTACACTTCATCTGATTCTTTGGATTCACCATGCTACTTGAGACTTGATGTTTATACTGAATCTTCAATCATAGAGAAGATATCTGACCGGAGGTTCATCCCATTGCACATGTGAATTTCCTCTCTTAAAAAATTTAAAGGGATATTCTATTAAGTCTATGAACAATCATGTGTGTCTGAATGCTCTCTTTTCTTCCAAATATCTGAAATGTAAAAGGTCAAGAAACATAAACATAACGGGTGCATTGCCATCATTTGAATGCATCTGTTCACAATGCATATCATATCATATCATATCCCAAGTGGATATTCTACGGATACGCTTGTACTGCATGTGTTACCAAAGGACGTCAGAGCTTCGTATTTTAGTGCTTTAGTATCTTCACTGAAATAATTGTGTGTCCAACGATGTCAGCAACATGCCCAGTTCCCCCGGAATGCTAAATAACAGGAGTATCATTGAAACATTATAAAGTGTTGTGAGCCTTGTGATTTCGATGTAAGGATAGAATCAAATGGCTTCAGAAAGGAGATATATGCTAAAACAGATGATACATTTTCTCAAAAGAGAATCCCAGAATCCCTGAACATTCAAATAGAAATCGTATATAATTGAGCAATGGAAATGAAGTACACATCTAAAACTCATATATGATACGCTGTTTCACAACCACACAATTGGTATCCTGTTTCCATGAAAATATCTGTTACACATGTGCATGCACACATACATACAAAACCACCATAAGCACACAGAATATGCAAACACACAATTTCACACACACAGATGCAAGTACGTGTGCCCGCCAACACACATACATACACAGAGACTGAGATGCAAGCACAACCATGCATACAAACACTCGCATACATGTACATCTTGATTGATGAAACTCTTCATATCAACCACAAGCTAGCAGTCCTGATATCAGATGATAACATAGGCCTCATTATGACTAGAAAAGTAAATACTAACAGATTTCTCAATGAGATTTTATGCAACTAGAATTGCCAGTTCCTCATCCTCAAATTATAGAAGGTTAAATTTAGGTCATTAGGGAAAATTTCAACTAACATTAATATCTAATCCAATTGGGATAAGGCTTGGATGATGATGATGATAATTAATATCTAGTCCAATAACATTTACCTCGAATGAAGAAGCATAGAGTTCCTCTTCAATATGTTTCTGTACTGCTGCTTCCCAAGACACAGCACTGAACTCTCCATTTGAGTCCACACCAAGAACTGAATTGGCAAACGAAAAGGATTGCCTTCCGATGGGACCCTATAAATTGCAAAGATTCAAATATTAGCTGCACTCTGATCAACAGTAACTGAGCATAATATAGTTCTTAAAATGGAAATGATCACCAATCCTTAAATAGGAGAGGAGCAAAATACTTGATTAGGAATATAAGGTAATGGCATTGAAAAGAAACAACATGCATTAACTCATTCTCAGTTTAGATGAAACTATAAGATGCTATATTTAGATTCATCATCCTTTGAAAATCTTTACAGTAATTCAGTTCAAGTGCAAATCTTCTCTCTCATTCTAGTATGAACGGCCATCATCCAAAATGTACCAGTACAATGGTTTCAGACTGAAATTTGATTCAACATTAAAATGCATATTGATAGTACATGCATTATGAAGAAACTTCAAAATGAAAGAAGTAGGATAGTACATATCATTTAGCAAGAACATATAATGAGAGCACATTTGATAAAAAATATGACAACAAAATCAATTAATTTGTGCATTATGGAAAAAAAATCACAAAAAGCATATGCATTGTAATTTAATTCAAAGCCGACCTGGACGGAAAGCTGAATTAGTCTCCGTACAGCCTTGGTAACCCAACAAGGAAGCATCTGCAGTAATGAGGTATCGCCTCCAGATGAGGAGAAAAGTTTATCTCGCCAATTCAAATAATCTGCCAAAGCAGACTTGCCAAAAACTGTTCCCATGCAAGATAAATAGCAATTTGTTTACAATCAAACAATGTTTGCTGAAAAAATAACAACTACCAATGCAAAAACTAATCCTATCGTACAACCAAGTATTCAAAGTGGAGTCCAAGAGATAAATCATTTTGAGCATGTACAGTCAGAAATATTACCAGGCCTTATGTTCGGAACCACGGAACCTGGATTCAAATCTTGACCAAAGCAAGCAGCCACTAAAGTGTGCCATAATGTAGGAAAGTGCTGAAGTCCTGGTCTAAGGTTTTCCAATGTACACTGTGCTGAAGATTTGCAGTGCCTATTTACGCTACCACTACAAAGGAAATTCTGGAGAGGAACTGAGGCATACATCAAAGTTGCCAGGGCAGCAATTTCTCCACCACCTTCAGCAATATCATCAATAGTCCTTATAATGTCATCAATCTCTAACGCACAAAGGTTATTACCAGGCACCAAATTGTGAGATAAAATCGCTCGAGCATTAGCAAAGGATGCATCATATTCAAATCCTTTTATCCGTGACAACAGCAACCATTTTGCCCACATGCAGTCTCCCTGGATAGCATTCAAAATCCAGAACATTAGCTGCTTGAATAGCACATGTCTGGAGCAGTGTTGCAAAACACAATCAGATTCAAGGCCACCAGGTGCGACTCGTGTGAGTCCCGAGTCAGATTGGTGTATGGACATAAAAGAAAATTACAAAAAAAAAAAAGAGTCAAAACCAGTGGAATCAGGTAATTCCAGGGTTCCCTAGAACTGAATCACCCAACTACTGGTTCTGGTTTTGAAAACTGGCAACTTTTGAAAGACTAGTTTAGAGTAACAGATTCTTCTGAAACTGCAGTCAACTAGCTGAAAAATCACAAGCAGACGGAACAAAGAAAACTAATGAGTACCCATGTTACACATGACCATACAACTAAAATAAGAATGTCAAGTAATATTTCCTATATTTTCATTTTCTAGGATTTTAGTTGAGCCGCTTTATTTTTAATGTGGACAGTCTAAAAGCTGCAAGTTGAAATGGTTTCTAGTGTTACTGGAAACAGGTGCTAATATTGCCAGAAACAATTTCTACTAAAACTTGAAATAGGTGTTTCAGAAATGTTTCCAAAATCTTCCATTGTATTTCACCATTTCCAGCATTAGTACTCATGGGTACCAATATAGAAAATAAACTACAAAAATCCATTATAAGAGAGATATAAAGGGACATATCACAAAATATAATTTAAATGTACTTAGGTACTTACAGCAGCTTCCTGAAACAAACTCATTGAAGAATCATCAAAAGCTAATTTGTGATGGTCCAAATAAAGGTCTAGAAGGTTTGGCAAGTTATACTCTGCACAATAATGCACAACAACTCTATGTAGTCCTAGCAAGGCATCTTTGTCAAAACCCTCATTGATACTTGAGAAGTCAAGATCCGCAAGGTTTTCAGACGATTCCTCCCTGACAGAGATTTTTGATGTGTTGACTATGAAGCCTGCACGGGAAAGCAATGGCATGATCTCCCAAGTCCCTTTCCAGTACCCCTTCAGAAATATTAACTTCCTAGCTAGCTTCTGTTCCATGTGCATTCTCAACCACTGTGAGCATGTACTCAAAGAAGAAGAATGGAAGAGCTTAATATTTGGCACTGTCATGTAAACGGAATCCAACTCTTCAGAGGAAAATGATTGTCGGGCTGATCTTGGGACATTTCTATCTTCTCCATTCGCCTGAAATGAGTGCAAAACATCCAGTTGGATTTGAAGGCTCCCATCTGCTAATAAAGAACTTGGAATCGTGTCCAGGAGTCTGGAGACCTCCACCCAGTCATTGTGACACATGTAATATTCCAGTTGTGACTCCCACAGCACATGGACTCCCATAAGAAATGGTTGATCCAATACTATCTGGAGAAGAATAAACAACATAAAAAAAAATGTACACCCCATAAAAGCTGTGGATAAAGAAGCTAAAGGAGGAACAATGATACAGTTCTAATTAAACTGGAAAGAGGAATGTATAAAAATAGCAAGTTTCCCACCAAAATAGATGTCACACCAAAGAAAAAAGCTATAAAAATGAAACAAAATATCAAACTCTGCTTCTTCAAGTAAATCTGCATGTGATGTCTTATAGAAACATTGTGATTGATAGAAAAGTAAGAAAATAAAATAAGACTAAATGAAAAATCAAAACAAAATAAATTTAAGACAACTCAAAAGCCGATATTATTCCTCTAAGAAAGTTAATAGATAACAATTAGACCAGCTTATATATACATGACACAACTTATTAATTCAAGAATCAACATGTTGTGCTTGACTTCTAGGGGGTTCAAGGGCATATATATTACGTCATTGCTTAGAGAGAAATCATTAAAGATGAAGGCTGAGCACCTACTCGGTCAACAATTCTTTGATCCCAGGCATCGCACCAAACTGCAGCACCAGCCCAGTAGCCAGCATGGATGTTGTCTTCCTCAGACGGTTGCACAGAAGCCAAATTTTCATCAATGTTTGCCCATGAACCAATCACGGCCCCATCAATTTCTCCACATTCAATGGTATGATCTTTATATGAATGATAACATACAAGCCGGGGTCTATCTTCTTCCACCAGAGTTACACTATAAACACCTTTACCGAGTTGTTTCGGCTTACAAACATATGTACCCCAAAAGCTACTGCTTGGATACAACCTCTTCAAACAGAAAAAATAAAGAGTAAATAAGTTCAGAAGCTACAACTGGAAAAGCCACCTTGCATATTTCATTTGTGTGTGTATAGGAAAAGGATTAGTCTCGCAGGTCCAAATTGACAATTTGGAATTACAGGTCAAACAACTAGTTAGGGGGATCTGATGGAACCCACAAGTCCAAATTGATACTTATCTCACCCTAAAATCAATATAGAAAAGAAAGAGTTGGACTCAAAAACTGCCCAACTCAAAATCTCCTCCAAGACCGAATTTGGACTATCTATGCAGAGATGGATATGAAATCTAAGGAAATTAATCTGAAATTGATTTTTCTTTTCTAATTTGATCTTGGGATACATCAAAGATGATTTGAAAAGACATGGAAAAGTATGCAGCAATACCAAGGAGGTTAGAATCAATCTTGGCTGTTAGATGTGAAATCAAGCAGCTGGAAGTGTCCCAATAACTAGGCTAAAAGTTCAAAAGAAAATTCTTTGAACTTTGTGACACCTAAAGCTGTCAGATGTCGCATTTGATGGCTATTGGTGATTGTAACTTCCTTGTACCAAGGGTAAATGGTCCTGTAGTATACAATCCTAAAAGATATTAGGTTTTAGGTCACATAAATCCCCTACAGGTATTTTCAGTGAGGGTCAAGTGTACAGTTGGACAGATGCAACCACCATGTGCAGGCCTACACACACACATATACCACACACACAAATAGATAGAGAGAGAGTCACCTCTCTCTCTATCTATACACACAGATGCACATATTACCAAACACTTTCAGATTGCATCTCTGTATATATGTATGGAAAAAACAAGGGCATTCCAGAAGATGAACCTCAATGAGTGATAATCTGTCCAATACTCTCAATTCGTATGACGCCAAGTATCCAAGTCGTTTCAACTCCTCGGCAATATGCGTCCTTAGGTTCCTCCTCACAGTACCAAATACTAATTCCTTCAAGCTAACTTCAATGTCCTCACCTAATCTTTGCAATGTGGCTATAGCCAATCCAGCTTCTCCCTAATGGCCACACAAAATAAATGCATGAATAGAACTAGATATTGAAAGTTTAAGAGGAATTAGTTCATGAATTACCTTGCAGAACATATCATAAGCGATAGCCCTTCCAACATCTTGAACCTCATTAAATATATCCCTTGTTTCTCTTTCAAACCCCCGCTCTTTCAAATGTTGAATGTGTAACTGAAGAACTGCCAAAGGAAGACGACCAGAGCTTAGGGCATCTTTCACAACACTCTTGAGATCTAATTTATTCATCTCCCATCTTGCAATCATATCCTTGGCATTTTCAAAGGAGATAATTGGTCTACTCTGACTCCCATCCATTGATGAAGGGACAAAAAGTTCATGCAAGCTTCTTGAATCCAAGTAGCTAGTTGAGGAGACCGACTCCAAGGGTGACAAAGCTAGCAGAGATTCCTCACTCTCAGGAAATGTTTGAGGGAACACTTCTCTTGGGTTTTGAGCTTCCAATGTAGATACAGTTCCAGATGCGTTCTTCTCAACCACAGAACCTTGGGGAAGAGGCAAGTCATCCTGTGAAGCAATTGGTGCAAGAGCTGATGCATTTTCAGTATCTACCTGTAGGGGCAAAGAGTTTCAAACTATCAACCACATGTAGTGTAGCAGCCAAAGCAAACAACTTGAGCCTAGAAAAAGAAAAAGAGCTAGCTCAAGGGACAAGCTATTGTATGCTTCAACAACATACCGCCCCTGTACCCGGCCTTCTGCGCATTACACCCAGTCGATTCTGTAGATTCCTAATAACCTCTAGAAAGTGAGCCATCTCACGAAGTCTTCCTAAATTTGCAGTTCCAGAATTCTTCTTTATTGGTGGCGGTTCCAGATGACAAAATGTTGATTGCATAGATCCCTTGAATGTACATTTATCTCTCTTATGCTCGAGTAAGCCATATCTCCTAATCATTTTAGTGGCAAAGCGTGCAGCTAGAGCCAGAAGTCTGTGGAAACACTCGAAAGCATGAGAAATTTGTGAAATTCAAACGGCACAAAAACATGAAATGAAAGCTGTCAGTTCAAGTTTAATGCCTCAAAACAAGATAAATTTAATATACATAATATCTTGAATGTAGAACACTCCTATCTGAATTTACAGTAGCCATACTCCCATCACTCCAAGCAACATTTTCAAATTGTTAAAGATTGAGCGGCACATAAATTTCACCTTGATGCCAAAGCTAGATCATGATCCTTGGTAGATCTACAAAAAATCCTCTCCACAACAGTAAACAGCAACCTCATGATGCCTTCCTCAGCTGCATTCACACCAATAAGCATATCTAAGGACCTGGTCATACCAAAAAGGTAGATAGAAAAGTCAGTTAAATGAACAGTTCAGTAACAAAATATTGAACTGAAGAAACCAAGACAATGATTAAGAAAAAGCGTTCAAGAAGCTTCAAAAGTGGTTTCATGCAATTTATTTTACCATGCCAAGAATTTCACACCCAGAACTATTATTAAACGTTGCATTAAAAGAGAGAGAGAGAGAGAGAGAGAGAGAGAGAGATTAGGACTTTGAATGATTCCACATAATCAGGAATTAAATTTTCCAAATTTTAAGAAACATATGTATCCACATAACATTGCTAGAACAATTTACACAATTAAGAATATATGTCACCCAAATTTATCAAAAACCCCACATGCTTTCTATGGTCGTTACCAATGTTCAAGAAGGCGCAGGCGGGCACCCAGACCCAAAGGTGGCCTTCGTTGTCTTTTTTTTTTTATAAGTTGGATCCCCATACCTCCCCCAATTTTATTGTATATATTATATAATAATAATTATGATTTAATACTATTTTTTTGGTTTACCAGTAAATTAACTAGTATCACATGCAAAAAGAATTTTTGAGAAATTAATAATTATGAATTAATACTATCTTGGTTTATACCAATAACCTAATAATTACTGTTACACGGAAAGAGCATTTTCGAGAAATTAATAATTACGAATTAATATTATCTTTTGGTTTACCAATAAATTAATAATTACTGTTACATGCAAAGAGTATTTTCGAGAAATTAATAATTACGATTAATACTATCTTTTGGTTTACCAATAAATTAATAATTATTGTTATATGGAAAAAGCATTTTCGATAAATTAATAATTACAAATTAATATTATCTTTTGGTTTACCAATAAATTAATAATTACTGCTACATGCAAAAAATGTTTTCGATAAATTAATAATTACGAATTAATACTATAGTTTGGTTTACCAATAAATTAATTATTGTTATATGCAAAAAGTATTTTTGAAAAATAAATAATTACGAATTAATACTATATTTTCTTTTATCAATAAATTAATAATTATTGTTACATGCAAAAAACATTTTCGATAAATTAATAATCAATAATAACCAATAAATTAATAATTACAAATTAATTATTATATTTTCAAGTCAGCACCTAGGCACCCGCCTTTTACACCGCCTTGGCGGGTGCCTAGAGGATTCCACCTAATATTGCCCGCCTTACCCACGTCTAGTCGTTTTTTCAAAAAGTCCGCCTAGGCTGCTGTCCGACTTTTCGAACACTACTCGTTACTAATTAAGAAACCAAGTGAACAACATAAGAAATCAAAGCAATCTGTGAATCTGCAAATAAAGGTTACTGCATGAAATAAAACCTGTCTCACCATTCAAGAGCAAATTTCGCAATGCATTTCTTAAGAACATCATCTTTCAGACAATATACTTTTTCCCAAATGCTACAAGAATTTCCTTACATAAGGAAAACTTTTCATGGACATTATAGGAATAATTATTAAAAGATAACCAAAGCTGCAACACTCAACCTCCTCCCTCAGTGTCAAGAATTATCTAATACAATAATACCCAAAATGGGCCTGACGACCTGCTATACTGTTATCCTCAAAGTGTCCATTACTAGCCAACATGGAATTAATTTAGTTGTTCACATGCGAAATTCCAGCAAAAAGGATATTAACAAGGTGAGGAATATGGGGGAGAAAAAAAAGGAAACGAAAGTAACTCGTAAAGAATGGGAGAACACAAAACATACAGAGGGGATAACATCTGAAAATAGTACTGGAGAGTAAAACCAAACATCGGGAAAACATTAAATACAAATATATCTGCTTTATCCATAAAGGAACAATAACAGGAGAAGATTCTAAGGACCAAAATAAAGTAACAACAAACTCTTTTTAAGCCATATTGAAGAAAAGTTGGACTACATACAATTAACAAGTAAAATACGCCAATATCTGCAAATTACTATTTCAAAGATTCCTCATTGCATGAAAATGTGCATTTGTGTGTTCTCTAAATCATTCCTCATGGCATGAAAATGCGCATTTGTGTGTTCTCTAAATCACAACTTCACAAGATCAGGCATTTCATGTGTGACTTAAAAAATTTTATGAAGTCATATTCACTTCATCTAGACTCTAGTGCAACTAATTTGAACCCTTTTTTTTTTTTTGGGTTCAGAACTGGTAACTCCATTTATATTTATCAATATTTTTTTTACGGGATAACACAAGCAAAGGAAAACAATACCAACTGTCCCTCTAGGCTAGGGAGGTAAAGTACAAGAGCTGGTTGGGAAGCCGCTTCTTTGGCGAGCTCTAGGCAAGGGAGGTAAAAGTACAAGATCTGGTTGGGAAGCCCCTTCTTTGGCGAGGCTATCTGCTAAAGCATTTAATTAACGCTGTATGTGTTGGAAGAATAGTTAAATGGGTTAATTGAGAACAAATATTTCATGGAAAACCATCTCTGATCTCCAAGGACAAGGAGATACTCTGACAACCCAGTTGAATAGTGTTCATGGAAGCTCCCCCGACCACAAGCCTGAAGCCCAGGCCGATTGAACAGTTTTGAGTCCCACGAGAAGTGCTGAAGTTTCGGCCATATTGGAAGTAATGTTGCCAATCAAAGGTGTGCCAGTCTCATTCAGCCAAAGTGACCACACCAGGACCACCATAGAGACCCTCCAAAGAGGAGATCTGAGTAAGGGATTCTTTTTCTTTTTTTTTTGGGAGGGGGGGGGGTTTGTTAAGGAGTAGTAGTCAAGAACACCTACGATAAAGTACGGGCACACAAAACCAAATAGATTAAGAAGAAAGAACCAGAATTTGGTAACCATTTCACAATAGAGGAATAAATGGTCATTTGATTCGCCGCATGCTTTGCTTTGCACATGATACATTTATTAGTAAGATGAATGCCCTGGCACTGAGTGTGTTTTGCCTTGAAGGACTTCTTTCTAATCGTCAACAAGGCAAACACCTGTACTTTGGGAGGGGCAGCAGGACCCATGCTTTGCGGGCAGTGGCAGGCGATGCTTCTCTAGGTCATACAAGGAAGGTGCCAAGAAAAACCTCGAAATAGAAGGCTTCCACATCAATCTGTCTCTGCCTTGGTGAGGAAGTGGGGGTTAAGGATTGACAGAAGGGCTTCCAATTCTACAATTTCATCATCGGTCAAGAGTCCTTAATCTTGGCAACCATACTGTGTGGCCACCCAGAATCTGATAAGCCTCGGAGACTACAATCTTGGTCTGCAGCCACCAGAAACAGACTAGGGAATTCCATTTCCAGGCAGTTTTATCCCAACCATCGATCTTTACACATTCTAGAGCAATCTCCCATTCCCACTGAGAATCAGATGCAAGAGGAGAAAGTTGAATGCACTAAAATGATACATTTCCATGCCCCCAGGGTTTTAGCATCAACCAAGCTTCTAGGCAAGCAGTCCGAAGCCTTGCACCCATATTTTTGTTGGATAACCAGTCCCCATAGTTGATCCACCTGAGTTGCGAAACATCACCATCATTTTCCCAATAAAGCTGCATTCATCTCCTTTAGCCTCCTAATGCCCAAGGCTCCATCCCTCTTGGATTTACAAATTCTGTCCCACCTAGCTAGGTGGAACTTGTATTCTACACCTGCCTCTGACCACAGGAACTCTCTCATCAGGCATCGCGTCTATTAACAATAGACATCAGCATCTTAAAGAGAGACATTTGCAAGACTGCGATGTTGGAGAGAATGGCTTTAATGGGTGTAATGCTTCCGCCCATGGAAAGAAGATGACCTTTCCCAGTGACCAATCTTTGCTCGAACCTTTCCACCAACCAATCGCATGTTTTTCTTTCTCAGTAAAGAGGACACAGGCACATATTTAGAAGACTGTCCACTCCACAACACAAGCACACACCGTCTGTGCGTTAAGAACACCACTGTATTTTGGTCGACCCTCCCCCACAAGCTTTGTTTTGGCCATATTCACTTTCAGTCCAGACGCAACTTCAAAGCAGCATAAAAACAATCACAGGTTTGTCGAGTTGCTCAGTAGTGCCATCATAAAATACCAATGTGTCATCGCTACCCTGCAGATGAGGGGAGCATCCCCTCATGGAGGATTGCAATTCTTGGGCAGAATCTTGACAGTGGAGATTGGATATTGCCTTACTTAACACTTCCACCGTGATGGGGAACAAAATTGGTCATTGGGTTGTCATGAACGAGACTTCTAATAGTCAAGAAGTAGCCATGGGGACTGCCATTGATTGTGATAGAGAAAAATGCTAATGACAGATGGCCTGAAATCCAGGTTCTACATTTACGGTCAAAGTCCATGCAACTGAGAATTTGGTCAAGTAGTTCCCAGTCCACATGGTTGTATGTTTTTTCCCAGTCTAGTTTTTTAAGTCCAAGCTGGAGATCTTAGGTTGGTGACTCACGTGCACGCATTCATGAACAATCAGAGCCCCATCAAGGGTTTGTACATCCTTGACAAACACCCCTTTGTTCGGAGAGATAACGCAGTTAAGCACATCCTTCAGCCTAGTCACCAATACCTTGGAAAGAATTATGTAGGTGTTTTTGAGAATCAAGCTTCAACCCAAATATAATTGAGATTCCTACCTATTTGGATTCGATTTTCAGACCAATTGGAATTGAGATTCATACCAGTACGGAATGGAGTTGCAACTCCCATGGAATCGACATTCCTACCTATATGGGACAGAGTTTCAACCCAATTGGAAACAAGATTCCTACATTTATGGGATCTTGTACCCAACAACTTAGAATCGCATAAAAAATCATGAGGAAATTATTCCATAGAGCAACAGATTCAAGGTTCTAGAGTAATCTTATGTGAGAATCCCTTAATACTGGAATCAAATCAATGTATTGAGTATGCTTAGCCATGGTTCCTGTATTATTGGAATCAAGATCATCAAAGGTCATAAAGACCTGAACAAGGTTACTGAAAAAAAAAAAATAAAGACTTGAACAAGGGTTTCCCCTGGTATTGAAATCGATGCCTTGAGCCTTAATCAAGGTATCAAAATTAAGGTCGAGTGTCAATAACACTAGATTTAGGTTAAGTACCATTAGCAGACACCGATAGTGCATTAGGGAATTTGTGATGGACTAATGGTGTTTACAATACGTACAAATATTATTTCATATACTCTTGAAACTGAAATTTTGATTTCATACTTGTACTTCAAAAATGGAATTCGTTTAGACCATTGCGCTGCTCTGTGTTGTAATCCAAGTCAAACCCAAATCTCTTCCCCAATTATCTTTAAAAGATAGCTACCAGTTCTAGCACTATTAGAAATGTATTCTGAATCGAACCCAAATCTCTTTCCCAATTATTTAAAAAATAGCTACCTAGTTCTAAGTCTATTAGAAAAGCAATCGTGTAAGAATCCCCAACCTTATTTTCAAAATATACCATTTACTTCACATGATGAAATGAAAGTGAGTACATTTAACGAGAGAGAGAATAAAATAATATTTATTGTTTACATTCACATTAAGTTGTAGCATTAGTGGAACAAGTGCTAAAAGTTTAAACATCACAAGCACACTCATGGAGAAAGGGTGATAGAGATTTTTTTGATGCCCAAAAAAGGAAAAAGCTTATATAAGTGCAAGGCTCTAAACAATCAAATTAAGGGGCACCTCAAAAATTTCACTAGAAGAGGTTGTTTTGATGCCCAAAAATCCTCAAATTCATCATCTCGACCTCAAGATGCATGGACATGAGAAAAAATAGGATTCAAGTTTTGGAAATAGTGAATCTTGTAATGTATTTTTGAACAGTCAATTTTCAAGATTTTCACGTTTTCATAGATCTGCTCGATCTACACTATTTTTTAAGCTTTAAATTTTATAATTAGAGATGAAAATAAATTTTTAGGCCATCACAAAGACTTTCAGTATTGAAACCACATCTCTCGACACTATTTGAAGGTGCGCCTTACTTTGATTGTTTAGAGCCTCAGCCTTATACAAACGTCACCCATAAAAATATATATTGCTGTGGAATCTGGATTCCACTCCACAAAAATGGAATCAAAATTCAAAAAACGTGGAATTGAGATTCAACAAAGGTGGAATCGAGATTTAATAAATGTTCAAATTAAGATTTAAGAAAAGTGGAATCGATATTCCCAAAATGGGGAATCAAGATTCTTGACTTCGAAACAGGTTCCATGAAGATTCCTTGACAGAATTACAAAATCAGGACTCTGAAGCGGAATCGCCATAGGCCAAGGTGTCCTGGAATTTGAGGAACAAAGCCACCAAAAATCCATTTGGTCCTGGGGCTTCGTCTTGGCCAAGCTCTTTTACCACCCTGTAAATTTCCAATATGGAGAATGGCCCCTCCAGCCACACGACAGCTACACCAACAAAGTATTGAAATTGAAGTTGGTTACCCTCAACCTCGGTCAAGGATGAGCAGTAAACAAGTTTCAGACTAATGATAACCTTGCTAATTTGAGTAGGTTGAATGTAATGCGCCCCTCTTTGTGGGTTTGAAGGACAATACTAGATCTCCTCCGACAAATCGCAGTTTTTGTGAAAGAATTCCATATTTCTATCCCCTATTAAGCCACCCTAGATCTTTGGAAACAATAAAGCTCATAATGCTCGAGGATATTATTGAACTCTACTTTGGCCACCAGTCCCCTATTTCTTTCTTCCGGACATAGATCCCTACTTTCCTCAGTGAAATCTAAATTACTCATTTATTGAAGAAGATACTTAACTGGTGGTAACTCCACTGCAATTTATCTTTCAACATTTGAAGTTTTTTTCAAAAGCCTGTATTCTGCGAACCCATGAACAGAGAACATGAACCACCAAAGTGAAATGAGACGCAGCACATCCACTTCTTCAAGCCACCTCAGCTCAACCTTAAAGGCCTGTTGCCCATGGGAACAGATTCAGTCTCGAGCAGTATAGGGATGCAGGCTGATGTGGTCATTGGGAGAGTTTGAGAATCGGTGCCAAAGAGAAGTTCTTCCTATTCTGCTCGTGTAAGGAACATATCAATCTTTGTCAGAATGAGACTTGGAGCATGGTTAGACCAATTCAATGACACTCCTGACAAGGTAGATCTATGAGATCATTCCTATACACAAAATCTGAGAAACACATCATACTGGATGTGATATGGCCTTCCCCATTTTTTTCATGAGACCATCTAGTGACATTAAAATCACCTCCTAGGCACAAGGGTTGGCTGTGTGAGGCAATTGCATAAAGTTCATCCTAAAATTTATCTTTGCAGTTGAGGCGGTTGGGATCATAAACAGCCATGTATTTCCAGTCAAGGTCATTGGACATACATTTGAGACCCACTATAACTGAAACTGCTCCTAAGTGGGCGGATAATCTCATGAAACAAGGCAGGTCCCAAATGACCCGAGTATCTTGAGAGGCCCCCTTCGAAGAGGAACCCCCATTGGCAGGGCCGGCAACCCTAGACCCACCGGATGAAAGCCAAGCTCGGGGATTCATGCTTGGTCTAAATGACATTGGATCCTCATTAGTAAAGGTCAATTAGAAATTAGGGCTCAAGATAAGATTTTCTTGTGAAGAGAAATAAACAGATACATAGAGCACCAAAGTATAAAAACACTCACTTCTCTATTTCATCATAGTTCGCGTAATCCAAAGCCAACTGCAGGCGACGTATCCAAGCGACTTTTAAGCCCCATCCTGATGAGAAATTAGATAAAACTAAATCAATTGTACTTGGAAAGACCAATGTCCCTACCATTTAAAGCATATGATGCAAGTACTTAAAACACTCATGAATTCCAACATAAAGACCTCTAGCTACATATCAACATACAAGTAACCAATGTTCATCCCTGAAAGATCAAATAAGATAAATATTGCACAAAGTTCAAAATCATATGTAACAGTTTGGAAAAACAAAATGAATCTCGGAGGAAAATGGTCTGCAAGGGAAAATATAAAAAATAAAAATAAAAAAATAGAGAAAAGTGCAATAAAGAAAAGATATGATGGCTTGGTCCAATCAATATGTCAATCCAGACCCAGATTTTAAAAATAATCGCAGTCAAAAGAACAGTTTGCACGGGCAAAGAATGAAACATTAACAAACACGACATTACTTCCACTAATTAAAAGGCACGTGCGGAATACATTGATCCACACGTGCACACAAACACACACAGACACACTCTCACAGAGAGAGAGAGAGCGAGAGAGAGAGAGAGAGCAAGAGAGAGAGAGAGAGAGAGAGAGAGAGAGAGAGAGAGAGAGAGAGAGAGAGAAGTAGTAGAGTACGACGTAACGTACGTAACGTACGTAACGTAACGTACGTAACGTAACGTAACGTAACGTAACGTAACGTA